GTGATAAATAACGGTCATATCTTGTGATAGATAACGGTCATATCTTGTGATAAATAACGGTCAGATCTTGTGATAAATAACGGTCATATCTTGTGATAGATAACGGTCATATCTTGTGATAAATGATGGTCATATCTTGTGATAAATAACGGTCATATCTTGTGATAAATGATGGTCATATCTTGTGATAGATAACGGTCATATCTTGTGATAAATGATGGTCATATCTTGTGATAGATAACGGTCATATCTTGTGATGCATAACTGTCACATCTTGTGATAAATAACGGTCATATCTTGTGATGCATAACTGTCACATCTTGTGATAAATAACGGTCATATCTTGTGATACATAACTGTCACATCTTGTGATAAATAACGGTCATATCTTGTGATGCATAACTGTCACATCTTGTGATAAATAACGGTCATATCTTGTGATGCATAACTGTCACATCTTGTGATAAATAATTGTCACATCTTGTGATAAATAACGGTGATATCTTGAGATAAATAACGGTCATATCTTGTGATAAATAACTGTCACATCTTGTGATAAATAACGGTCATATCTTGTGATGCATAACTGTCACATCTTGTGATAAATAATTGTCACATCTTGTGATAGATAACGGTCATATCTTGTGATAGATAACGGTCATATCATGTGATAAATAATTGTCATATCTTGTGATAAATAACGGTCATATCTTGTGATAAATAACGGTCATATCTTGTGATAGATAACGGTCATATCTTGTGATAGATAACGGTCATATCTTGTGATAGATAACGGTCAAATCTTGTGATAGATAACGGTCATATCTTGTGATAAATAATTGTCATATCTTGTGATAAATAACGGTCATATCTTGTGATAGATAATGGTCATATCTTGTGATAAATAACGGTCATATCTTGTGATAAATGATGGTCATATCTTGTGATAGATAACGATCATATCTTGTGATAAATGATGGTCATATCTTGTGATAGATAACGGTCATATCTTGTGATAGATAACGGTCATATCTTGTTTCCAAAAAATAATCAAGCATGACTTCTTACTGATCGTCATCAGTGCGAAGCTTATGTAGGTGTCTTGTCAGGTATTATTTAAACGAGTTCGTCTGTTTCAGGAAACAAAACATTCACAACAACATTCCTCGATGGCAGTCAATACCAATACGTTTGTTATTATTGCTTTACGTACCATCAGAAACCAGTGTCATATAAGGATGTGTCAGGTTTGGATTGTTGAGGAAAGCCGGAATTCCTTGAGAAAAACCTGTCACCTGCGGCCAGTACCTATCGGCTGCCCCAGGTAGGTCTCGAACCTTAGACCCTGAGGTGGAGGACTAATGATAAAAAAGGTCAGACACCTTAACCACTCCGCCCCTAAACACTAATACAGGAAGTTCGTGCCGTAACACCCCACCAAAGTATTTAAAGCATTATAGTGTCGCACATGTCGCTGTTTATTCCATACACACAATTTATACGAGAAAGCAGAAGATAGTTTTGCCTTCAGGAGTTTCTGATCTTTTTTCTATATAATATCAAAAGGGGTTCCGAATAAAGAGTTCTTTCTTCTATCCTTGTCCGATATTCTCTAGTTTCTTGTTACCGTTTAAGCATAACTGGTGATTTTAATTTATTTCCAAATCAAAAGTAATTCATCCTCACCTACATGTGGGCTGGCTCAGTTTGTCATTGCAAGCTGTGTTCTTGTGATTAGTTTATCGTTTTGTGCCAGTTTTCGTTTCCTATGTGTGTTTGTGCTCGTCGATTTTAATACTATTTTATATTCGGTTTCCCGATTTCTCAGGTCAAAAAGATATACTGTGTAATTATATTCATATACATGAAGTGTTGCGATAATGTAGATTCGGTTATGAATCGGAACGCACTTATTGATGCTTCACTTCTGCATATCAATTTCACTACTTTCTGTACTATCCTAATTATTCCTGTCATTTTCCGTGTTGTTTCATATATTTGTACCAGTTTGATAATAAGTTTGATGAAATCGATGTAATACGGTCCAGTGTTTTTTACCATATTAATTTTCGTACTCGGGTCTGGTCTTGCCATCAAAGTGAGTTTTTTTTTCAAATTTAAGCTGATGTCATCACTAATGCATGGGGTTATGTACGGGTTTGCTTTGTATTGTAAGTGGTGGTCTATGTCTTCAATAAGTATACTGTTATAACTAAACTTTCAATTCTGTCGTATTTTACTTCACTTGGGATTATTTCCTTGTTAGACCCACGTTATAACAGCTGAAGTAAAATAAAAAAAAAAAAATATCAAGTTCTCAAATGAGACCAAAATAACAAAAAAGATCACACAGACAAGCTAATAAACATCGAACGCGTAGTTTTCCGACAAAGAAATATTCAAATTTTCAATGAGATCACCGACGACTGTAAAACATTCCCATCAAGGGAACTGGCCCTGGAATGTCGAATTAAATGTGTCACGTAAACACCATAGTTTGGGTATGTATGGATAGGATGTTTGGTTGGTATATATGTTGAATGTAGTCCTTTTTTAAATTTAGGGAAACGAAATGGTATTTGGTAAATTCATAGTCGTATGAAAACAAAATCAAATTAGCCAACAGAGGGGCACAGTTAGTTTCCATAGATTTGATAATATGTAAGTAAGAGTCTTCCTTTTTATCGAGCAATGCTAGTTTTTTTCTATGCTATGTGCAGAGAATGCCATTATGTCTTTATACAAAGGTCAAGTAATATTAGACGTTTTATCTGCAGGCGCAATAACTTACACGTTTCGTCTAAACCTTTAACATCAGGATCAAGAAAGTCAGACTTGTTTTGTTCTCATTGCTGATGTAACCTTCCAGTGCTTTTAAGAATATATCTACTATGAAATTCAAGCCAACGCAGCGTTCTCTATGCGGTCATAGCAATCATATTGAGCTGAAGTGCTAAGTTTTCAAATATTGTGTCTTACGTGCTGCCTATGATGTGCTCAGTGCAGGTTTTGTTTTCAGAATATGGAAACTCATCGCTCTTGTATAATTATCAGGGATAGGTTAAGTTGAAGTTCCTTTACGGTTCACCGCAGACAGATGGCTAGTGTAGGTCTGTAATCGATAAATGAAAAACGTAGTGGCGATAAAGTTACACTTTTAGGAACACCCTTCTTGTCTTTGCACTTTACCCGATTCATTTGGGGATCGATCTCCTGTAATGAAAATTATTTAAGATAACCCATAAGAAATATTTCATTATGCTGCTGCTGCACTTCCCTGTGTAGATAATTACTTTACTTTGAATACATCCGTAGTCGCCTCCAAGGCTTCAAATTTTAGGCCCCTCGAATCGCTGATTTGTCCTAGGACAAAACAACCGTATGATATATTATCACTTGCGAGTCTGAGAAGGCCGAAACAGTTGTATGACGCAGTTTAATTTATTGTTTGCTGGTAACAATTCCTATGTACTTATTTTCAGAGCTTCAGTTGGTAAGCTTGTAACCTTAAAATGATTGGTTGACTTTAAAACAACTATACTGCCAAACCAAACCAAAAAGGGAGTCGACTCCAAGTCGGCACAAGGGAATTGCCCTTCTTTCATAGATAACATACGCTCAAAGTAAAAAGAAATCTTGACACTCCACGTAAGTTGAGCGACACCAATACGAGATTATCTATGAGTTATGTTCTCTTATCGAAATATACCCCTGTATACTTCTAAGTCAGACTTAATACGAGTTTATTACGCACTTGCATCTGATTATGTAAGTATACATATATAATAAAGCCTTTGCGTCATCAACAGAACCAAGTTCGTGTATAAGGGTAAACATACACCCCAAACACCACAAAGAGATGATGTTCAATTCACCCGACTGGTGATATTATGGCTAAACTTTAGCTCACCTGCTGAGGTTTTCTGGTCTCCGGTTACATGCTAAGCACACGTTAATATAGCCACACTAATGTCGAACGCCAATTTCTTACTAGGCTTTTATAGTAAATTGTTGGCTATTGCTTGCTTCCATACTTTTTGGGCAGTTTAAGGTATCCAAATGTTATTGAATATCTTATAATTACTGCCTATCAAATATGTCAACAGCTGCGGGCAATCCTACTACAATACATATCCGTTTGCATTCACTGTACTTCGTGCATTTAACACCTGCTAACAAACACGTCCTATACATACTGTTAAATGCACAGAGAATCAACACGCGTACTTGGATGATACATACAGAATTACAGATACCCTTAACAAAGTTTCCGAATAATATATTGAACAAAAACGACATACATAAATGACATAGCGCTAAAGGTCCCTTGTTTTAGTTCTGAACAAGATTTTTACATAGCGAAATCCCGGCCAAATGATGAGCGTCCAACAAACCAAAGAAGGCTGGGCATCCAGTGCCTTCGATAAATCAAGTCCATATGACTGTCCAGATAACTGCTATCTGCTTGACATCAAGAAAGATCAAGAGAACAGAGCATAACAGTCTAAGTAGACTGCGCCACTGAAAAACCAAATCGTGCGTTAACGAAATCGTCATATGGAATCATTGAAAAAATAAATAAAAATATATTAATAATTTAGAAGAAACCACCAATAAAAGGTTGACATAACTGTTGTCAGGAATGAAGTTACTTACTATATATACAATGTATCGGTTAAATTGAAGACGACACGTTTATTCATAAGTAATAACATTTACGGACAGTGTTGAATAGTATTGTTTCTATCGTGAGCGTGTTTGATGCTCGTTAGTTTTTCAACTGGTTTCGTTATTACACACCTTGTTCTCATGTACACTACATGTTACGTTTTGATACAAAATAATGCCGTTCTTTAGATTTGCTGAAGCTTGACATCTCTTTCCGGACGTCCATTTCAGAGCAACAAAAAACGGAAGTTTTCTTGATGAAGCAATCATTGTATTTCGAAAACAACTAAATGATATATATTTTCTTACATTTGATAATGACGTAGGGATATTTAAAGAAAATACAATAACGATGATATGTATCGATACAGCAACCACTACTCGTTATGTATTACACAGTTAACAGTCACTATTTTCTATATCATGCGATAATTCATCGCCTAGTTTACACTGTCAATCAGATTGAACATTTCGAATATGTGCAAGTTATTGACGGATGACTTCCGGTGTCCGCGAGAATCTGTGCGCACATATAACATGTTTCTATCAAATCTCACAATATCACGAACCATGTAATCGTACCTGCCGCTCGTGATGGAAGAAAAGCGCGTGCAGTTCGGCGCGACGGCGTCAATATGTTCATTGTCCATAGAGCCGTAAGTAAACCCGAACTGATCCGTAATCCTCATCCTTAGATAACCTGGGTCTGCGCAAGGCTCAACTGGACTTTCCGGTTCCGTTTCTGAATATGTTGCTTCACACATTTCGTTGATATCCCATCTGAGGGAGCTCTGATCATTGCTTTCTCTCAAGTAGCTTGTTGAATCGAGGAAATTCAGCACCAACCACGCCATCTGTTGAGTAATCAGCCTCACGTGAATGAATACTTTCCAATCCTGGGAGAATATAACGTCGCCCAGAGCTAGTGGGGCGAGGTTGATAATTTTACGTGGGTAATCTTGGTTCGGGTTGTAGATGTAAACCTCATAATTGTCGGCGTCAGTCGCCACCAGATCTCCGTTTGGGAGAACAGCAAACCCACCAATGTGGCATATTTCGTATGAGCAGAGGTTGAAGTATTTTATTTGTCGAGCATGTGTACCTGAGGATGAAAGCGCTACATGTTAATTTTAGTTTAAAACGGCAATTCTTAAGTATATATACAGTAATAAAAGTGGACATTCCGTGAAATATGTAGCATATGACATCCATAGCTGGTATTTTGTATATATGATATCCTATAAATATATGTTACTGTCAAATCATCTTCATGGATAATTATTTTTCTCTTGTATTTTTTTCGTTGATTTCATGAGTTTTTTAAATCCAAGAATTCATTTCTAAGCAAATTATTAAAATACTTAGAGGATTTCGTCAGGTACACTTATCTTAGAAATCATGTGACCAGGGTACATATATATTGTTATAACAATAATAAACAGTGACCAGGGTACATGTATATTGTTATAACAATAATAAACAGTGACCAGGGTACCTACATATTGTTATAACAATAATAAACAGTGACCAGGGTACCTACATATTGTTATAACAATAATAACAATAATAAACAGTGACCAGGGTACCTACATATTGTTATAACAATAATAAACAGTGGCCAGTGTACATATTTATTGTTATAACAATAATAAACAGTGACCAGGGTACCTACATATTGTTATAACAATAATAAACAGTGACCAGGGTACCTACATATTGTTATAACAATAATAAACAGTGACCAGGGTACCTACATATTGTTATAACAATAATAAACAGTGACCAGGGTGCCTACATATTGTTATAACAATAATAAACATTGACCAGGGTACCTACATATTGTTATAACAATAATAACAATAATAAACAGTGACCAGGGTACCTACATATTGTTATAACAATAATAAACAGTGGCCAGTGTACATATAACAATAATAAACAGTGACCAGGGTTATTATTGTTATAATAATAATATACAGTGACCAGGGTACCTACATATTGTTATAACAATAATAAACAGTGACCAGGGTACCTACATATTGTTATAACAATAATAAACAGTGACCAGGGTACCTACATATTGTTATAACAATAATAAAAATAATAAACAGTGACCAGGGTACCTACATATTGTTATAACAATAATAAACAGTGACCAGGGTACCTACATATTGTTATAACAATAATAAACAGTGGCCAGTGTACATATTTATTGTTATAACAATAATAAACAGTGACCAGGGTACCTACATATTGTTATAACAATAATAAACAGTGACCAGGGTACCTACATATTGTTATAACAATAATAAACAGTGACCAGGGTACCTACATATTGTTATAACAATAATAAACAGTGACCAGGGTACCTACATATTGTTATAACAATAATAAACAGTGAGGGTACAGTTATAACAATAATAAACAGTACCAGGGTACCTACATATTGTTATAACAATAATAAACAGTGACCAGGGTACCTACATATTGTTATAACAATAATAACAATAATAAACAGTGACCAGGGTACCTACATATTGTTATAACAATAATAAACAGTGACCAGGGTACCTACATATTGTTATAACAATAATAAACAGTGACCAGGGTACCTACATATTTATAACAATAATAAACAGTTATAACAATAATAAAAACAGTGACCAGGGTACCTACATATTGTTATAACAATAATAACAGTGACCAGGGTAATAACAATAATAAACAGTGACCAGGGTACCTACATATTGTTATAACAATAATAAACAGTGACCAGGGTACCTACATATTGTTATAACAATAATAAACAGTGACCAGGGTACCTACATATTGTTATAACAATAATAACAATAATAAACAGTGACCAGGGTACCTACATATTGTTATAACAATAATAAACAGTGACCAGGGTACCTACATATTGTTATAACAATAATAAACAGTGACCAGGGTTACAATAATAAACAGTGACCAGGGTACCTACATATTGTTATAACAATAATAAACAGTGTTATAATAACAATAATAAACAGTGACCAGGGTACCTACATATTGTTATAACAATAATAAACAGTGACCAGGGTACCTACATATTGTTATAACAATAATAAACAGTGACCAGGGTACCTACATATTGTTATAACAATAATAAACAGTGACCAGGGTACCTACATATTGTTATAACAATAATAAACAGTGACCAGGGTACCTACATATTGTTATAACAATAATAACAATAATAAACAGTGACCAGGGTACCTACATATTGTTATAACAATAATAACAATAATAAACAGTTACCAGGGTACCTACATATTGTTATAACAATAATAAACAGTGACCAGGGTACCTACATATTGTTATAACAATAATAACAATAATAAACAGTGACCAGGGTACCTACATATTGTTATAACAATAATAAACAGTGGCCAGTACATATTTATTGTTATAACAGTGACCAGGGTACCTACATATTGTTATAACAATAATAAACAGTGACCAGGGTACAATAATAACAATAATAAACAGTGACCAGGGTACCTACATATTGTTATAACAATAATAACAATAATAAACAGTGACCAGGGTATAACAATAATAAACAGTGACATATTTGTTATAACAATAAGAAACAGTGGCCAGTGTACATATTTATTGTTATAACAATAATAAACAGTGACCAGGGTACCTACATATTGTTATAACAATAATAAACAGTGACCAGGGTACCTACATATTGTTATAACAATAATAAACAGTGACCAGGGTACCTACATATTGTTATAATAATAATATACAGTGACCAGGGTACCTACATATTGTTATAACAATAATAAACAGTGACCAGGGTACCTACATATTGTTATAACAATAATAAACAGTGACCAGGGTACGTATATATTGTTATAACAATAATATACAGTGACGATGTTATTGCATTATTCTGAATGTTAAGAAGAGGCTGTATCAAAAATGTAAAATCCGAAAATAAACCAGGTTAACTGCGTTTTAATGTTGTTTGATTCTGAATCAATAATGATTCGACGGCGATGAGCACAACTGACTGTCACGGCAATCTCTGCATTGTATATCTCATTCTGCCAAGAGATATGAAATATTCAAATATTTTTTATGTATACCTACCATCCAGTCTCCGTGGGGAACGTCTTGGTTTCCATCTCAACAGCCATCTTCTTCTTAATGTACGGCGTTCCTGCCTTGTCATGCCATGGACGCTAATACACGTATCATTCTCCACTCGAGATCGGGACCGAGTTAGCTTTGTATTTACGTCACGCAGATGTGACGTCACGTTCATTATCCCTTCGGCATTTTCCGATGATATATTTAAAACATTCCACGGTGCGAGTGACGTTAACTGCTGCTCTAAATCATTGTAATGGGTTATCTCTTCATCAGCATTATTCATCAGGTTCGATAATACGCCATAGATATCTCCTAGTTGGAAGGCAGCATTTTGCGGTCTGTTTTCTCGAATATTATCAAACTGTTGAGCACATCGTTCCATAGTGTTGAAGTTTTGTTGACGCATTGTTCCTTGTACACAAGCTCCATACATCAATATGATCCAAAATGTATACAAATTATTCCCCATTATGTAATCGAACTCAAAAAGTAGAAACAAGATTTAATTATGTAAGTTTGCATCGACTTTCACGTATACCAAACTATTCTGTAGTCATTTTCAAACAGTGGCGTTGATAATTTTAAAACCAATGTTTACCAATCCCAAGGCATAATAGGAGAAATGTGTTTTAAATAACAGATGTATGGTTTCTGTCTCTACCTTGGAAATCTCGATACGAGACCTTGTGTGAGATATCCGCCTGTCAGAATATATTTACCATATCACTTATCTTTAAGTTCTACAGGGAAGCTACATATATCAAGAGTGTCCGTTATTTGATAGCTGTGTAATCGGAATATTTTCTGTAACATCATGATATTTCACTGATTAGAACAAGAGCAGAGAAACAAGCCCCCATTTTCTATAAATCCTCTCAAAAATAACACATTTGAACATATTTTATTCTGGAAGGTTTCTCTCTAACACACTGCCTATACACTAGGCTCTTGATTACGTGGTAATATGTAACGTACAGTTACTCCTCAAAATATATACTGAATTATATATTGTTATTTAGATGAACATTTAAGGTTAAGAAACAAAAGAACAATGTTCCCTTAGTTCACTAAATGTATACAAAAGTATATAAAAATAAAATATTGTTTTTATTGCCTGTTATGTATACCATATAATATCGCGCGCGCTCCAAAATTTGTAAACTATTGAAATACGCCATTAGGAATGATTTATAATTAACTGAAAGAAAATACTGGAAACAAATTACAGATTTCAAATATGATTTTCTTATTTCCAAAAATACACACCTACCTACCTACACACACACACACACCTACACACACCTACAGACGCACCCACTCCCCCCTCACCCCCTCCCCCCCCACCCTCCACCCCCCACCCCCCACACCTCCATACACACACCCATCCACCCACCCACACGCCTACACACACCCGCCTACAAAAATACATACGCCTACACACACACACACACACACACATCCACCCCCATCCCCCACCCCATATATATATATAATTTAAAGAAACAAGTTTAACGATACATTAAATGTTTCACGTTGAACATAAAGAGTACAATCCATGCATAATCACGTAGTATAAATAGTTATCTGCTATCAGAACATTCCTTTATGGTACACGATAAAATGTCGTCGTGTCGACAGAATCTTAAAACTAGAACCACAGTTGATTAAAGGGAAATGGAAAGATTTACACGAAAATTATTGCATAAGGAGAATAAAACCATGATTTCCAGAAGAATAAACGTTCTTTTCTCCATCGAGGACATTCGCGATGTCATTCCAAGTAAGTGATGTCCGCTTCCAAATGAGTTTATATTCACTCAAAGTTCTACCCTTTAGTTATTCTTCATTTTTCAGAAAACGTAATTGTAATAAGTTCTGAACAGAGATATATATGAATATTCATTTGGTCTGTTTCAATCACTTCTATAGTTTTCTTGAAACCACTTATCAACTATTAACTGTTATTTGCCATAAATACATAATGTGATGGTTATATTCAAATAGAGGTTAGTTATTTGGCAAAGAGTGAGTTACGGTTGACCTTAATTAAGTTCTTTCCTAGGTGTTAACACGATGTCTCTGGCATTGATCTTATACAGATTAAAATACAGTTTTATTCTGTCATAGGCTGTATCTCAAAGAAATGTGCTTATGTGTCTTTTGTACAATACAAATCGACACATCGTAACGACAAAAAAATCAATCCGATACGTGTATTTAGGTAATTACTATTTCCATTAGTAAGATACCTCGTGTAATACCAGTTAGGAATTTGATTACAGTAACAAGCACGTCCTTCTCTATATTGACAATACTATATTTAGGAAGGGGAACCACGACGGAAATGCACTAGCGTTATCTATGTTAGTATTTCGCTTGTTTGTATAGTAAACATAAGTAACACACAGGGTCAAAATGTGTGCCGTGAACCCGTGTTCCATAATCTAGGATAGCTGATAACACACGTAGTTGTATAGGCCGTCACATCGCGTCATTTTCATAAAACAATAAACAAGGGTACGTATATAACGAGAGCTGTTGCAAGGAGGTAGGTACATTATATATATATATATCTTGGTATATACCTGTATATCGGAATCACTTTGTGGACTAATTTACACTATTACAATGTGTATTGTATCGATTATTTATTGAGTAATGTAGATATGTTTAATGTCACGATTAACAGTGTTGTTAGAACGTTACAAACAACATCTCGGACTAAGCCTCTTAACCTCATGTTTCCGGTTCCGGACGTTTATCCTTTAACACATCAGTCATCGATACGAAAGAGTTTTTTTATCCTTAAATTTCCTATTTTAGCGGTAAATTACATATTCCTCGGCGGATATCATATATAAACCTAATATTGAACAGTAAGACAGTATGTGTAACACATAAGAATATCATTTGCACGAGTTTAATGCGTCAACATATCATTAACACGTGTGTAATACGTCAACATATCATTAACACGTGTATAATACGTCAGTATATCATTTACACGTGTGTAATACGCAAACATATCATTAACACGTGTGTAATACGTCAACATATCATTATCACGTGTATAATACGTCAACATATCATTTACACGTGTGTAATACGTCAACATATCATTTACACGTGTATAATACGTCACAATATCTTTTACACGTGTGTAATACATCAGTATATCATTTACACGTGTGTAATACACCAACATATCATTAACACGTGTGTAATATATCAGTATATAATTTACACGTGTGAAATACGTCAACATATCATTTACACGTGTGTAATACGTCAACATATCATTTACACGTGTGTAATACGCCAACATATCATTTACACGTGTGTAATACGCCAACATATCATTTACACGGGTGTAATACATCGGTATATCATTTACACGTGTATAATACGCCAACATATCATTTACACGTGTGTAATACGTCAACATATCATTTACACGTATGTAATACATCAGTATATCATTTACACGTGTGTAATACATCAGTATATCATTTACACGTGTATAATACGCCAACATATCATTTACACGTGTGTAATACGTTAACATATCATTTACATGTGTGTAATGCGTCAACATTTCATTTACACGTGTATAATACGCCAACATATCATTTACACGTGTGTAATACGCCAGCATATCATTTACACGTGTGTAATACATCGGTATGTCATTTACACGTGTGTAATACGCCAACATATCATTAACACGTGTGTAATACATCGGTATATCATTTACACGTGTATAATACGCCAACATATCATCAACACGTGTGTAATACGTCAATGTATCGGTTTGAAAGAGTAATCTGTTAGAATAACGTAAATATCCAATGCAGTGTTTTGTACCGGGGATGTTTCGTAACTTCATTGTATTTTAAACCAATCATTAAAAAACAAAACCATGTGACTTTTTGTGTATGTTTTGACAGCGTGTCTTGTTAAATACACACAGTTATAACACGTCTATGAATATTATCATGTCAGTTTTACAAATTGTCTTCGTTACTTTGTATGACACTATCTACGCCGACAGTATTTTTGAAGCTTTGTTGTTACATTTTGTGCACAGAATACTTTGTATACAGAAGTCTGAAATCCCCATGAGATTTTTAGCTTTGATAAATGTTTTATAATTATAAAATCCGGGTCTCAGTGAAACCGATCTTCCTGATCTGTAGAACGATTGAAATCTAATTACCAATTCTTCAAGTTGTATTTAACATCGATTATGTTATTTGTTCCAGATCATACATTAACGAGAAACAGATTAACTATGGAAATGCGACAGCAGAAGGATGCAGGTGGAGCTGTCCTCCATTTTAAATATTTTGATGGCATTTACTTTCCACCAAATGTCATAGGGGACGTTAAGACCCATTTAGACGCGATAAAAAACCTTAAACATAAAGATGGAGATGTTTTGCTTGATACGTTTCCAAAAACAGGTAGACTAAGATAAATTATTATCTACAGCGAAAATAATATGTTATTTGCTCAATAATGTGATATCTATCCGTCACATATTTCAGCAGATGTACTATTTCTGTCTCTGATTTTGTATTGACTCCACTCATTGATGATATCGATCTTTATCTACTATCCTTTCACATTCACAACGTCAAGTATGATATAAGTTAGACAAATCCCTGTTTGTCGTGAAATCCGCCCGTCACTAGATATAGCGGAATTGTAAGCTACGCCTGTGGATCCTTAGTCCCGGTAGCTGGTCATAAATCTTCATAAGAACAGTTAAAGACAAATCCTTCCACATTGTTTAATTACTATTACTTATTATCGTTCTTTTACTTGTGATCTGAATTAAAATCCTGATCAATTATAATGTGATAATGTCCTGACATTGTGTACAGTCTTTTTTTTATGTTTTGCACAATTGTAATAAATCGGTTACATCTGACACTTAAACTATTGATTAAAAAAATTCAGTTATTAATGTGATAAATCATCTTGAAGGCAAAATATTTTTATCAAATTTTCGATTTGTCTTTCAGGAACACACTGGACATTTGAAATTATGCACATGTTAGTAACTGGAAAGGCAGAATATTACCCCGAAAAGACTCTAGCTCTAGAGTTTGAGCCAATTGAAAAACTTGACAACTTGGAATCTCCCAGAGTTCACACGTCACACTTATTTCCTCAACACATTCCTCAGTCATTGATTGATAATAAATCTAAAATGGTATACGTCTTTCGAAACCCGAAAGATACTGCTGTGTCGATGCATTCTTTCATGAAAATCTTAAACGTCGAACTTCTACAGGGGTACGAATCAACATGGGACAATTACATCGAATCATATATGAATGACAAAGGTATTTTCTTGTGCGATGTAATATTTAGTGTGGTGATTCAGTAGTGCTGTACGTTTTAGAAGTCTCACTGTACATAATTCTTTGCTGATATATTTGTCGTAGACTCGTAGCGTTTTACTTAAATTTCTATTAGTTGCAGATATTTTCTCTGTTGTTATTGTTTAAAAGGTGTGATGTCAGTTTCTTTTAACTTACAATAATTTCGTTCTTCACAAGAGAATGTTCTTATTTCTGAGAGTCATAACTTTTGTTTTATTTTTGTTGTAGTTATAGCTGGTCCGTCGCTTTGGAAATGGTTCTGACATAAAATAGAAGGATTGTACAAAAGCACATGTTACTAGCAATTTATATAAGCTACACTAGACTCAATCAATTTAACTGCATCATAATGTTAGGGTTAGGCTTAGGGTTAGTGTTAGTTTTGATTGAAATGCCTTGAGGTGATTCAGTAGGGTTCGGGTTAGGGTTAGTTTTGATTGAAATGCCTTGAGATGATTCAGTAGGGTTAGGGTTAGTTTTGATTGAAATGCCTTGAGATGATTCAGTAGGGTTAGGGTTAGTTTTGATTGAAATGCCTTGAGATGATTCAGTAGGGTTAGGGTTAGGGTTAGTTTTGATTGAAATGCCTTGAGATGATTCAGTAGGATTCGGGTTAGTTTTGATTGAAATGCCTTGAGATGATTCAGTAGGGTTAGGGTTAGTTTTGATTGAAATGCCTTGAGATGATTCAGTAGGGTTAGGGTTAGGGTTAGTTTTGATTGAAATGCCTTGAGATGATTCAGTAGGATTCGGGTTAGTTTTGATTGAAATGCCTTGAGATGATTCAGTAGGGTTAGGGTTAGTTTTGATTGAAATGCCTTGAGATGATTCAGTAGGATTAGTTTTGATTGAAATGCCTTGAGATGATTCATTAGGGTTAGGGTTAGTTTTGATTGAAATGCCTTGAGATGATTCAGTAGGGTTAGGGTTAGTTTTGATTGAAATGCCTTGAGATGATTCAGTAGGGTTAGGGTTAGTTTTTTGATTGAAATGCCTTGAGATGATTTAGTAGGGTTAGGGTTAGGGTTAGGGTTAGGGTTAGGGTTAGGGTTAGGGTTAGTAGGGTTAGGGTTAGGGTTAGTAGGGTTAGGGTTAGGGTTAGTTTTGATTGAAATGCCTTGAGATGATTCAGTAGGGTTAGGGTTAGTTTTGATTGAAATGCCTTGAGATGATTCAGTAGGGTTAGCCTTGGTTAGGGTTAGTTTTGATTGAAATGCCTTGAGATGATTCAGTAGGGTTAGGGTTAGTTTTGATTGAAATGCCTTGAGATGATTCAGTAGGGTTAGGGTTAGTTTTGATTGAAATGCCTTGAGATGATTCAGTAGGGTTAGGGTTAGGGTTAGTTTTGATTGAAATGCCTTGAGATGATTCAGTAGGGTTAGGGTTAGTTTTGATTGAAATGCCTTGAGATGATTCAGTAGGCATGCTTTACGAAGTATTATAGAATTTCTACCTTGGACTTAAAAAAAATCATTGATTGTATCTTTTTTTTTTGTTACGTTATAATAATGAAGCTTGGTATTACTTTGAATTTATCAAGTATGTGGAAATTACGAAATTTATTGAACTATGGGGCCAGTGCATCTCCCCATTTAGATACTGACATTTTGTTCCAATTAATGTCGGTTTAACTCAATTGCTACCTATGTTTCCAATGTTTGGCCGTTAGCAACATCCACGAGAACGAAGCACCTGTTTAGTGCAGTTAATTATTTGACTGTACTTTATTATATACTGGAACTAATCCTTAATATTGCAAAGGTGCAATTTACTTATATGTGTGTTTTTACTATCCTGCTTAGCTCTATACATCTAATACGGAATTTGAATGTTTTGATATGATTGGTTGGATTTATATGTGATTCGTTTGCTTTCATTGTATTTTTTAATTTGTTTGATTTCTACAGTACCTTACAATTCCTGGTGCGAACACGTAAAAGCGTGGTTGGATTTCCAGAAATCACATCCGGGATTATCCATACTTTTTATCGCGTTCGAGGACATGAAGAAGGTCTGTTCTTCACACTGACATGCTTTTAACAGCAGGTGTTCATTTAGATAATTGGTTCACATGTGTTTCTTCATTTTCAGCGACGAATGAATAACTTTTTCAATTTCGTTATCGCGTCGCTATTTGATGTACGTTATCGACATAGTTTTCACATTATCTTGTTTCCTATTTATATACACACATTGAAACATACTTAAAGTTGTCCGCTGTTGTGATCTATTTGTTGATTGTATCTCCAGGATTTACGGAGAAGCGTTCAGAAAATTGCTGAACATCTGGAATTAAAACACAGTCCGGAATTCCTAGACAAAGTGGCGGAAAAGTGTCAATTTATCAACATGTCAAAGGGGAAGACATGCGCGGAGGAGACAAAAATGGGTGTTGGTGGAAAAAATCCATTTTATAGAAAAGGTACCGATCATTTCAATTATATCGCTTCCGTTATTATAACTGATAATGAACCTATGCTGTCCAGAACTCACAACAAATCAGGTAACCTGAGAATCACACATCGGTACAGTGGTAGCACGAAATATGCACTATAATTGACCCTATCCGGAACCCGGTGAGGTGATGGCTATGTTGACAAACATCTATTCACGACTGACAAACGAAGAGATAAAATGGGAGAAAACAATCAGGGTTGATGTTGAATTGTTGTCAAAAAGTATACGAGTTAATGGCACCTCTCAATACAAATTAGAAACATACACAGCCAGGCAAAGTAGTAAAATGTGTCATACTATCATTTCCTCTTTCCTGACACGTCAGTAATACAAAGAATCTTATGTAAACCAATAATGACCGAACTAAAAACCAAGACAAATCTGATGAGATTCAAAGACTCCATAGTACATTTACTGCCATGTTTTCACATGTGGCATTAAAATGAAGTTTCATACTTGTACATATTAAAAACCATACCTATATCCTAATTAATACATTTGCAGCACACGGAATTTAACTTAAGCGTAGCAGGTAATGAAGTTTTAAAGTAGAACACGTACTCCAGTTCTTATCTGACTGGATCAGGTCGATCACGGAGTATCACTGGTGCAGTTTACGCATGCGTGCATAATTAGTTAGCTGGTTCAATTTGAATAGTAACTTAGCTTTGTAAAATGATCCGATTAATCACGTGGTCAGAGACAAAAATAGTGTTTGTGTCTGCTAGTATGCCTTGAAAGTGACATTACTCACCCAGAAATGGACATGGAAAATGATATTACTCACCCAGAAATTTACATGGAAAGTGACATTACTCATCCAGATAGTGACATAGTACTGATGATCACGTGAGTTGACGAGATAGTTACACAAAAGTATCGTCATTGTTGGTACGACTAAATCATAAATGACGTTTAGTTTCATTATCTAAACAGAACACTGTGTATCATCAGTACATGAACAGGTATTCTTTAAACAATTATTTAATTCCTTTGAATTTTTAATTATTTCAGGTGACGTGGGAGATTGGAAAAATTATTTCACAGTTGCGCAGAACGAGAGGTTTGATGTGTTCTTAAAGGAAAATATGGCAGACATTGATCTAGATATAAAATATACACTCTGAGCGTGATTTGAAGAACAAAGTGAACAACTTGGTCGATTTGTATCCATCAAACAATGAGTCGTCATCAATAATCAGCTACATGTGTAAACGTAATCTGATTTTTCTCTGATGTAGAGGTCAGGTGGCGACGCGGGAAGACACTCGCCTTTCACCTAGCCGCCCGGGGCTCGATTCCCGGACAAGAAAATGTATGGTATCACTTACCGACCATGTGGGTTTCACTAGGGTACTCCGGTTTCCTCCCACAGTAAGGCCTCTCGCGCGCTTCCATCCAGGTCACCAAGAGTGGTGAAATATAAGTTGTAATGTTTAGTTTACAGTGTATTGTACTTCCATGCGTTAATTCATCTTTAATGTAAATATATGAAAAACAGTCGTTGATCCAATAGTAATCAATGTGTTTCTGACAATAGCAGGTTCACTATATATCGTGATGTTTGACAAAAATGCATTTTGTAATGTTCAAATAAATAACATATAGTTCTTGGATATATCACGCATAGACATTGGTTTCCATGTTTCAAACAATACTCGGTATCACAAAGCATCGGGAAACTCGCTAGGTACTTGACTGATATATAAATGTACTATAACAAGCATCGGTAAACTCGCTAGGTACTTGTCTGATATATAAATGTACTATAACAAGCATCGGTAAACTCGCTAGGTACTTGACTGATATATAAATGTACTATAACAAGCATCGGTAAACTCGCTAGGTACTTGACTGATATATAAATGTACTATAACAAGCATCGGTAAACTCGCTAGGTACTTGACTGATATATAAATGTACTATAACAAGCATCGGTAAACTCGCTAGGTACTTGACTGATATATAAATGTACTATAACAAGCATCGGTAAACTCGCTAGGTACTTGACTGATATATAAATGTACTATAACAAGCATCGGTAAACTCGCTAGGTACTTGACTGATATATAAATGTACTATAACAAGCATCGGTAAACTCGCTAGGTACTTGACTGATATATAAATGTACTATAACAAGCATCGGTAAACTCGCTAGGTACTTGACTGATATATAAATGTACTATAACAAGCATCGGTAAACTCGCTAGGTACTTGACTGATATATAAATGTACTATAACAAGCATCGGTAAACTCGCTAGGTACTTGACTGATATATAAATGTACTATAACAAGCATCGGTAAACTCGCTAGGTACTTGACTGATATATAAATGTACTATAACAAGCATCGGTAAACTCGCTAGGTACTTGACTGATATATAAATGTACTATAACAAGCATCGGTAAACTCGCTAGGTACTTGACTGATATATAAATGTACTATAACAAGCATCGGTAAACTCGCTAGGTACTTGACTGATATATAAATGTACTATAACAAGCATCGGTAAACTCGCTAGGTACTTGACTGATATATAAATGTACTATAACAAGCATCGGTAAACTCGCTAGGTACTTGACTGATATATAAATGTACTATAACAAGCATCGGTAAACTCGATAGGTAATTGACTGATATATAAATGTACTATAACAAGCATCGGTAAACTCGCTAGGTACTTGACTGATATATAAATGTACTATAACAAGCATCGGTAAACTCGCTAGGTACTTGTCTGATATATAAATGTACTATAACAAGCACATTCCCCTGATGGTATAAAGTACAAAAACTCACGTTAAGCACCAGACATTCATGTTTATATTTATTAAAAACTGCCGGATTTTATCTCTACGTACACTTTACTGATTATGACTGGTGTTGGTGAAGAATAAATTTAGACCCCTAGCATCGCCGATGAGTCATAGATGGACGAAACAGCTTTATGACGTAGCATCACTGACAAGTCCTAGAAGGACAAAACAGCTGTAAGATGTAACATCACTGACGAGCCTTAGAAGGAGGAAACGGCGTTATGATGTAACATCACTGACGAGCCTTAGAAGGAGGAAACGGCGTTATGATGTAACATCACTGACGAGCCTTAGAAGGAGGAAACGGCGTTATGATGTAACATCACTGACGAGCCTTAGAAGGAGGAAACGGTGTTATGATGTAACATCACTGACGAGCCTTAGAAGGAGGAAACGGATTTATGATGTGAATTTTATTCATTGATTTTTTTCTCTGCTGTTTTTAACTAAGAAAGGGGTTATTCATTTATTCATTTTTTTTGTACAAAATCAAAATCTAAAATGACAAAAATCTGTAGGATCTAAATCGTATATAATAAAACACGTTAAGTAAACATTTTAACGATATAAACAACCGTTACTTGTTTGTTTACATAGTTGTATTTCCGCTCTGCCATTTAAATCAATGAATTGGTGCCAGTATAATATGTACACACATTACTTGTGCGTGCGGTATTTAAATGGTTCAGCGGGGTAAAATACAATGTACTACTGAAAGAATATCGTAAATAAAGACGGCTTTCATAGAGGCAGGCTGACTGGGAAATTACAGTATACATTCAATAATTCTACACTTTTTCATAAACGTGTGAATCGATTAAGACGCGACACATAACTTTAAAAAATAGAGATTCAAGATGCCCATTGTACGCTTTTGTGTCCTACGTATTAAGTGTGCGAATACAAATAGACTTAAGTTTTAATATTTTTATTGTTTCCATTTTCAAAATACTGTGTCTCCGTCTTACAATTTTTCATTTCTTGTTTCACAGTTCTACAGGGAAGGACTTAAGAATGCGTTCATTTTTATTTATCATTGTGTGGTAAACAAACGCGTCTTATATATTGCATCATATAATAAACATCATTCCACAGATCGGTGACTTTCTATGCGTGAATAACGTTTAAGTTGAGTTAAGCATACAATACTTAGAACTGTATTTCTAAAGGCAGTGATCAGGTTGATAAGTTCCCAATATATATAACATAGCGGCACTGTTGATATTGACCGTTAATGCGTTCCGGTATGTGTATGGGTGTACCTGTTTATATTACATTGATTAGACGTGTATGGATAGACCTACCGCTCAGTAGTAACGGGCTGTATCAGTTATCTGTGGATACTAAGGTGTGTACTTACAGGTGAGTACAGGTATATGTAGGTACCAGGATAGAGAGTGTACTTACAGGTGAGTACAGGTATATGTAGGTACCAGGATAGAGAGAGAGAGTGCATACAGATGAGTTCAGGTATATGTGAGTACTAGGATAGGGACTGTACTTACATGTGAGTACAGGTATATGTGAGTACAAGGATATAGAGTTTACTTACAGGCGAGTACAGGTTTTTGTGTGTACTAGTAAAGATACTGTACATACAGGTGAGTACAGGTATATGTTTGTACTAGGATAGAGAGTGTACTTACAGGTGAGTACAGGTATATGTGGGTACCAGGATAGAGAGTGTACTTACAGGTGAGTACAGGTATGTGTGGGTACCAGGATAGAGAGTGTACTTACAGGTGAGTACAGGTATGTGTGGGTACCAGGATAGAGAGTGTACTTACAGGTGAGTACAGGTATGTGTGGGTACCAGGATAGAGAGTGTACTTACAGGTGAGTACAGGTATGTGTGGGTACCAGGATAGAGAGTGTACTTACAGGTGAGTACAGGTATGTGTGGGTACCAGGATAGAGAGTGTACTTACAGGTGAGTACAGGTATGTGTGGGTACCAGGATAGAGAGTGTACTTACAGGTGAGTACAGGTATGTGTGGGTACCAGGATAGAGAGTGTACTTACAGGTGAGTACAGGTATGTGTGGGTACCAGGATAGAGAGTGTACTTACAGGTGAGTACAGGTATATGTGGGTACCAGGATAGAGAGTGTACTTACAGGTGAGTACAGGTATATGTGAGTACCAAGATAGAGAAATACTTACAGGTGAGTACAGGTATATGTGTGTACCATGATAGGAAATGTACTTACAGATGAGTACAGGTATATGTGTGTATCAGGATAGGAAATGTGATTACAGGTGAGTACAGGTATATGTGAGTACTAGGATAGGGACTGTACTTACATGTGAGTACAGGTATATGTGAGTACAAGGATATAGAGTTTACTTACAGGCGAGTACAGGTTTTTGTGTGTACTAGTAAAGATACTGTACATACAGGTGAGTACAGGTATATGTTTGTACTAGGATAGGGAGTTTACTTACAGGTGAGTACAGGTATATGTGTGTACTTGGATAGGGAGTTTACTTACAGGTGAGTACAGGTATATGTGAGTATTTGGATAGGGAGTTTACTTACAGGTGAGTACAGATGTTTTGGCAGTGTGGTTGGATATTAACAAAATGTTGGGTTGCTAACTGCATTATCCGAAATGCTCGAGAAAAACATTATAGTGGCGTCTTGTGGTCTATGCAGATATCATGAGCATAAATTAAATGTTATTTATAATTAAAAATTCAGTTTGAACATTTGTATTATTAGGGTGTCAACCGATACTAAGGCTTGTATCATAATCACGTACATAAACACATAAATTATAAGACTTCGCCTGATTTATTCGGAGACATTTATTACACGCATTTATAACAATTGTTAGTTTTTACTTCTTTTTTAAGAATTCTGCTGGTTTTCTGTTTTATGAACGTTTATTTCAATGTTAGGATCCAAATCACTTTAAAACCTAACTTAAGAAGTGAAAGTTACAAAACATACACTTGATGATTGATATTTCGCCGAGCCTGATTTGGTTCGTTTGTTAAGATGACAATATCCCACCAGTTTGATGATGTACGTATTTAAAACTTATCTCGATTTTTAAAATCAAAGAATAAGTTTACAAAACCATTGCACTTACGTACAAATGCCTTTGTATAATCTAAGGTTAACATGGGAACTGGGAGTCCCTCGAAGACATCTGGAACATCTAATATCAAACATCCAATTGATTCCTCAGTTTCATGCGAGCCCTGTCTAAAACAAGGACGAGGAAGTGCTCGTGTGTCAGTTTCCTACTGCGTTCAGTGTAGTCAGTTTTGTTGCCAAGTTTGCGCAGAAAATCATCGGAAATTTAAAGGTATGTTTTTAATGGTGGTTGATTTGATATAAATTGTACGAATACTACTAATACCATGGAGTGTTGTTTCTACAAGGTATCATATTTAATATGTTTAGATCTTATCGCTAAGTATGACAATAAAAGCTCTTCACTTTAACTGAACACAAATGTTTACTCTGTTGGTTTTGATTGGTTACTTTTCTTACCGACATTTGTTCACAGTTTTTTCTCCATCCACAGGAACACAGACACATCAACACGCTATATTTGTAACAGCAGGAAGACGCCGTCGACTAAATACACAGAATTTTCCTTGTGACAGATGTAATAAAACTTCAAAATTACATAAAAATGACGCATCCACGGTATGTTTTGTCTGCAAACAGCTCATGTGTAAAGATTGTGATGTTATCCATGACAATGAAGACACTTTTAAAACACACAGAAAACTTACATTGGCAGCTCATGCGCGTGACCCTGTTTCTGGATCTACTGACTTTCGGGGCAGAGAAGACAAACCAGCGATCAAAACCGATAGAAAAAGACAATTAACTCGTGATTGTAGAAATGAAGGTACATTTGGAAATAATCCTAGTGTTGACGGCAGTCTTACTTTTAGCAAGAACTATCAACCCATTGCTGCATCATACTGTGGTGAGTTTTCTGTTAGTACTGCATCCGATAAGCACATCGCTAATGTGTACGATGTTTCAACAATGCTGGACGGTAAAATAGTTATAATTGATGATAGAAACTCAAAGATGAAGATATTTACGCCAGATCATAAACTTTATTCCAGCCTCTCTTTCGCATACCTACCTGGCAATGTGACGTGCATAAATGAAAATATGATTGCTATGGCGATGAGCAACGAAATTTTATATTTCAAATTAAAAGGTACAAAATTGTCGCAGATGTCGCATAGATTGCCTTTGAAAGGGGACATAACCGGTATTGTGAAAAATGTAAACACATTAGCTGTGACGTATCTAGTTTATGGTAAACAATCCAGGATTGGAGTTATCAATTCCAAAGGAATCGAAAAAGAAATAAACAGGACTGAGCGAAATTCTTCTGTACCAATGGAAATCTGGGGAAGGACAGCAGTACTGGAAAATAGTCGCGACTCAACCGTGAACGTAGTTGTCATGGAAGATGATTCAGGGACTGTGGGTTGTTACAATATCAGGGGACACCGAGCATGGACTTGTTTAATACCACAAGCTGGAAGTTGGCAAGGAGGGTTGTCTACAAAGATGGGTGGCATCGCTGTGGTGGGTAATGTTGCCTTGGTTACCGATGTTATAAACCACGTGATCCATGTCGTGACAGAACGTGGAGAATATGGTGGCATCCTCCTTGACCAGACCGATACACTACATAAACCCTACGCCATATGTTATAACATTAAACGGAGATTACTCTATGTCACAAAATTTAGAAGTGACATTGTGAAAGTATTTAATATCAAATGATTTAGAGAACTTCTAGACCCTATTCCTACATGTAATGATCAAAAGCAATTATCTGGACCGTTCTAACAACATGACTTGTTGACTGAATCAGTTTCGTGACGTGATGTAGACCCACGTATACAGGGGTATAGCTGGGATCAACATGGAGGATGTTATTTATTGTTTATTTGTTATCTCTGAAATTGTTTGCCTCATTGTTACATTTTTGTTTTGAATCAAACAAATAAAACGAAAGTAGTTTGGTATGGAATATCACAGCTATTTTATCCATTTGTTAGATTAAACGACAGCATTTCAGTTCTACCAGCACGCGTAGTAGTTCCATATTACTATACTCTGTAATCAGTGTTTTATCAGATTGTGTATGTACGTAAACGAAATGATTTAGACATATAGATATTCAATGGTACTGTATATACATGCTATCAAACGAAAACAAAGTCGGTTTATCATTTAAACAATCACTGCACGTGTTGAATCTGCTTATGAAACTGTTCTCATAAATCACGATTTTGTATAACATGTTTCCAGAGATGCAGAGTGATGAGATTGGGGAAGTTTGTTATCATAAAGATGGCATAAAGAAATAATATACATTGTAGTTGTTCGTGTGATATGAGGATTTCAAGATTTACATAACAGGTATGTTTGAACACAAAGATCTCACACAGTAGTTCAATTTCACTTCCATGTTTTGATGACGTCATGTCTTTAAATATCAAGATATTTATTGACCACATTCGTCGTAAATACCGATCAAAATTTGGAATCAAGAACACAACATACTTCTACAGATTAGTTAATTCTCTCGATAATTTCCTACAACAAAACCAACATTGACAGCTTTCGACCAAGTTAATTTCGTTAGTTTGCCTGTTGGGCCCAATGTTGTATACATTGTTCTCATTTGAGAACGTGGCATAGCGTTTTTGAATTCACCAAGATTAACACGGCTGTTATCGTGGATGAGATAAAGACGTTTCCTCTTCCGGAGCACCTGGTTTTATTCTCCTTGTGCTTCCTAAAGGAGATTTTAATTTTTTAAATCGAGCGTCGATTGTGATTTTGTTGACAAATAAATATTATCCTAATATTTCAGTTCGTATGCTTTGTGTTCTATTGTTGTGTAACCAGATGATTTGAAGATTAAGTCAATAAAGCAGGTTTCTTACAATATTTATTTACATTATCCAAATAAGGCCATTCTCATGTCTGAGCATTCAAACAATTAACAATATTTAATTAATCATATCCAAGTAATAGTGCAATAACATAGAAACCAAGTATTATAATAAACGCACAACATACAAAATAGAGTACCTGTGTAATGGAAAACAACAAACTGCACATTAAACAATGAACGCTAATCAAGTATTTACATTGTGGGGGTCGTCGTTGACGCAGAAGACGTTTGCTCTTCCGGAACACATGGGCTGATTCTCCTTGTACATTTGTCTGTCTAAATCTGCCCTTGTTCTCCTAAATTTATTTAGTTTGAATTTTGATTCTGGGGTCATGTTGATGTTGTATTGAATATTAATATTTGTAAAGAAAATACCAACATTTCAACGTAATCATAAGCCAAACTCAAATTCCATGAAACTAGGGTAAAGTATGACCAAAAGAAAGAGTTATACGGAGACTCATGAAAAAGTACAAGGATAATAAGACCAGGGCCCGTATTCTTGAAACCGTTCTCATGCTTAAGCATGAATCATGTGCTCAAACCTTATGTCTTGTTTAAGTTAAAAAATAATAGATAAAACTAATTTTGCCAAAGATTAAAAAAAATTGAAAGGACTTCAAGTCAAAGTTATATTAAATGTTTATATTTGACATTTGTATTATTTTATATAATGTAGGTGAATAATAAAAAAGTGAGCATGAGATTGGTTTCGTGAATACAGGCCCAGGTGTTCTGGAAGAGTAAACCTTTTCCGTTTCATCGACGACACCCGCCATGTAAACCTTGATCAATCCAAGGAAGTAATGACACATTCAGACATGAGAACGAATCAGAACGTGGCATTTTTTACTTGGATTGATCAAGAATTACATTGCAAATGTTGTTGATGAAACCGTAGAAGCTTTCTTTTTCTGATCTTATTCTCCTTGTACTTTATCAGGAGCCTCCATGGATGATTTTCGTTTGTTCAGATTTTGTCTCGGTTTTATTGCATTTGAGTTCGAATTCATATTGTGTTAACATGTTGGTATTTTCTTATTTTTTCAAGAATAGTGTAAATAGCATCAAGTGAAATTATGATGCTTTGCATATGCAATTGTATGAATGTAGATGAAAAATTAGACGCAGTGAAATACCACAAACTGTAAAACTGTTTTGTCAAATCACCGCAAGTTATTAGATATGTCTATGTACTGGGGTGATAATTCTGCTGGCAGCTTTAGAAATTCAAGGAATACATACTTTAACGTCTATTAAGTATTCTCAGTAGTTTCTTGACTAAATGTCCGTACTGCAGAATGTCTGAACGGCTGTCGTGATCCCCGCCTATCGGACGCTGGTCCAGCATCAGTCTAGCTCGTTTCACCGCCTGTATTCAATACAATCGGTAAATAGTGTTACACCGTTTATGTCTGTTCGTCACTGTATTCTATAGGGTCTAAGAATGTTGTACATTGTGAACGTCATTCTTAATTATAAACTTTATATTCATATTATCTTTCAACATTTTCAGAACGTCTGTTAATATATATCATATTTTATCGTAACCTGAAGTAAATTGTAGATAAAACAGCAGGTGTTACCTTTTTTATAGATTTGTAGGCGTACAACGCTTTGTAAATTCCATAAAAAATCTGACTGCTTAAGTAAGTATAAACACCAAAGGCTGTGATGAATGATTACCTTTGTGTTGTTAGTAATGTAAACATTCCTGTCTGAAACATTTCCGTGTATCACGTTTCTACGGTGCAGGAATGATACGGCCATAATGACCATCCTGGAGATCTGATACGCCTGTGTTGGCGATACTTTGTAACCTTTTGCGTACTGCTCCATACATACATAGCTTTTATGTGGTCTGAAGAGTTGACTGAAGTAAATCTCTTTCAGGTTATTACTTGCATTGAACCCTATAAAATACGTTAATAATCGACATTCAAATAAATAAAATAAAATTAATCAAATAATTTAGCCAAATCAAGGCACTTTACAACTTCTATTTTCTCACAATCTGTTCAGTCAATGACCAACGCTATTAGAGAATTGCTTTGGAAAATAGTTTGAGTTGCTTCCTAACTTGAACAGAATTATATCAAAGGAAATTAATACATCAAATAAAAGTCTGCAGTGCTTACATTAAGACTAATTAATTGTCTTGTAAATAATAAATCTGCTCATATGGAAAGTGAATCGATAAAGATGAGATGCTATTAAAACTTTTCGATTATACTTCGTAAACAAAACTTAGTGTGAATGTCAAGCTTTCAACTACCAAAACATATATACCTTCAGTCATTAGTTGTCTCCCTTTAGATGTGTCTGGTAAACGGTTTGCTCCCTTGGTGGCGAACTATCATCACACAATATAAAACTAATAAGCATGTATCATTATGTTGGAAATAGAAAACTGAAGGTTTCACACACAAGACTGCATGACACGTGCAGTAGTTTAAAATATGATTTGTTTAGAGTTAATATAATAAATAATTCAGTTTGCGCATGTGTATCTCGTTATTGTTATGTCACAATTAATATTCTCCTTAACGGTTCTTCAAACCTGTCTGATGAACAAAACGGAAACATCCTTCGGTCAGTTGAAACTTTTATTAAAAACACTAATCGGTTTTAAGGTCAATGGCAGATAAAAATATATGCTTATACGTTATTTATAATCACATTCTCATCTTTGCATTTCCCTGGCTCTGTTAATCTTTCTCTTTTGTATTCTTTTCCATTTTTCACCTCTCCTCTATTTTGATATATATTTATTTTGATTACCAAACTTTAAGTTTATTTTATTGTAAATATATAGATTAATGTACTGTTTTCGATAGAAGGCGTCACTAAGTTGTTATAATATGTGCCGAATCCCGGTTGCTTGATGTTAATCAAAATATATCTAAATCAAATCAAAATCATGTGTGTATATGCATTGCATTTCTATTTTATGTCTTTGTTAGGTTTTTGGAAGTAAATATGTTTACACAATTATGGAAAAATGTTAGAAACAAAAAAAATACAAAAAAATACAAAAAAAAGCAAAAACAAAAAAGAAAAAAACAAAATTCATAAACCTGATTCATTTTACTCTTTTCATTTTCCCCCACTTGCAAAGTCAAAACCATTGGCGAACTGTCCAGCATTATCATCGCGACTGGTAACCATGTTGTGATTTCACATATAAGATAATGAAAAATGTTACATGATATATTAAACCTGTGGCAGATACTCAAACATATTACATGGGCGGATTAACTGGAAAACACTTAGAGGCAAAAGGATCGCAACTTCAGGTTTACGGTTTCATAAAACAATGTTTATGAGCAATATGCCTAAATATGAAATGTAATAGTTAAATTCGAATATTGGACTATTCCACTTGAAATTTTCAGAGCTTTTAAGCAAATAGTGACTTCTTTTTTCTGCCATGAATTTTGGTACACTGATATACACAGAGTTGAACTAACGGCAGTTGTCAGACCGAACCTAATATCGTGTGAGCCCTCAGCGAACAGCTAAAGCGTTTCTAATGCTGCGTGGCATGGAATTCAAAAGGACATTGGATGTCCGCTGAGAATGTTCACTCGACTACCCGACAATTTTCCGATTAGGGAAAACTCGGAACTATATGGAAGCCAATCAATAGGGACGATGTTCTGGGTGGCAAGGAAGTCTCTATAAACTTTTGCAAATTGTGGCTTAGCATTGTCATGTTAGAGGTCAAAGTTGCCTTGTAATGAAAAGCACAACAGGAGGCCTCATGAGCGCAACTCGATAGCGTACAGCCGTTAATTTCCCATTTATGATTGCTAAAGATGTATTTAAACCATTTTAACCATGGGACAAAATGGCCCAAACTATAACCTATCCATCCTCAAATCGGTCGTACTCGTAAATGTCAAGACCTTGGTCTGTCATCAACCGTTTCCGTGGCGGTGAGACGTAAACCTAACTGACTTATAGTCTTAACTCCGAAGTGAGAAGCGACCTGATATCGAGTGCTACATCCCATGAGCATTGCAAGAACCCGTCCACTATTAAGATTGGGTAGTCTTGGCATATTTGTGAAAAATAAAATACTGGTGAGACAGAAATCAACCCTGGCTTCAATAGAAAGGAAGTTATTTGTGCAGTCACTTTACATTTTGTGTATCAGTATTAGGCGCACCGGATGTGGGGGGTGGGGGGAGGTAATGTAAGGTGCCGTAGTATTCCTCTTATATTATACAAAGCTCTGTGTATTCAATATAAAATATTTTACAATTAGAGAATTTGCGTTTCTATATCCTGTCGGTATGTATAAATTAATGTACATCGGAAATTTCATTACATAGAGAGCCTTTTCCGGGTAAATAAACCTATAAGTTAGTATATACATCAATACATACGTTGATTTCCACTTTACGCTTGATGTAGATGTACGTATAGAGGAAAGGGTTGATCGCAGAGTTGATCGGAAGTACAAACACCATCACCCACGCGTACACGTCAGCCGACACTGTTCCTCCCGACCGTGTCCACACACCTGTGGTAGACGCATTAGTACATTTTATGTATTTGTTATTTAAGTTTTGTTTATGATATGTTTTCGTACAAGTGATGGCATGTTTAAGGTTTTAAAGGGAATATAGTCAGATAAGGCAATGTAAGGTGACCTTTCTTTGTATTCTCTTTATCAATGCCTTAGAAATACTACATTATCATCGTTAAAAACAAAGATGTTCAATTTAGACGTAATTCGAGTTGTTCTATAACAAGACGTTTAAACAGTACTGTCATGGTTACCGATACAGTTACATATATTTTCTGTAAAAGGACTCCAACTTATTAACCTAGGTTATTAGTTAAGTTGTTGTAAGGCCCTCAACTGGAAATACTAGACTCACAACTTATTAATCCAAGAAAGCAAGAGTTCTTACAATATCATAATCGTCTGATGGTCATCATGATTAAATGCGGCTTTGGTAGTTATATAAAAAAAAGTATGAGTTTGATGCATGGCAAAATGTAGACAATGCTTGGTGTTAAAATACATATATTCCTAAAACAAAGAAATCGACTTAACAATGATCTGTAAGACGAATAGAGGAAATAAGTTATTAAAGATGTGTTATTTACGTGTTATATTCGCTGAGAAATGAAGTTTGGGTAAAACAAGATGTCTCCGAGCCGTGGTAGTAACTATCAACAATTCGCTTCATTATGATAACATATTTGTCATTTACTAGGTGATATTATATTCTTTTCCGCATCATATTCCATAGCAATACCAACCTATAACACCAATCGGAAACCAGCACAGAAAGTCACTGGCAACAACAAGGAAAAGAGATCTTGCTAGAGCTATTTCTCGTTTCCGGTTTTGTGTCGTGGCGATGGTTCCACTGTCTCTACAGTGTCTGTGGATGATTAATTGTAAGATAAGAATCATCAGGAATATAAAGCCATTCAGTGCTATGAATATGGCGATAGAATACTCCCGGCCTGGCACATCTCCTCCTGTAAGAGGCAAGGCGAGACAGACACTCGATCGAGAGTAAAATTGTCCCTTGAAATAACTCTGGAACATAGCATGGGGGACAATTGCCAGCATCAGCGAAACAACCCAGAGCAGCATAGAAACGAACACTGCAGTTTTCCATGTAATCTTCCGTAGTGATAATGGGAATACAATGGCGATGAATCTGTCAACAGTGATCATAAGAATAGCAAAGGTAGACATTTCACTTGATATCACGGATAGACATCCAGCGGTTACACAGAGTGCTCCTTGTCTCCAATTCTGGTCATTCACAACATACCTTCCCCTGAGACGGGTGTCGACGGAAGCGACGATAAGCATGTAGATGCCCATGATAAAATCAGACATGCTCAGATTGATTATAAATATGGAATGACTCTTCTTTAAATCTATTTTATCAACTGCCAGTCGATATATTATGACAAAGAGATTTCCAACCAAGGCCAGTATACCTATAATCCAGAGACATCCTCGCAAGAAGTCAGAACCTATTAGATCCGAACATGAAGAAATGAGACCTTGAGGAGCGAAACAGTTTTCATCCAGGACCGACTTCGGTTTAATACAGCACATCTTGTACGAATCTGCATAAAGATATTCAAGAGTATGAAGACCATCAAACATGAATTCTTGGACCTCGAAGTAGTTGTTCTGAATGTCCAAACTTTCCAATTTCTTAAGACTTTGAAAACTTCTCAATCCTAGATTGTATATGCCACTTGAACTAAGATTTAAATCTGTCAAAGAATGAAGATTTTTGAATACTCCAGATAAGATTATCTCTGTATTGATCTTTGAAAGTTGTAAGTAAGACAAGGAGTACAATTTTGAGAACGCGTTAACATCTATATATACTAGTGGATTGTCATTCAGCTTTAATGTTTGTAAAGCATTTAATTTACTAAACATGCCATTAGGAAGTCTACTGATCAAGTTTGCTGACAAGTCTAGGTGTTGAAGTTGTTGAACTCCTGAAAACACTTCAGTGGCTAGTTGCTTTATATTCGAATGCGATAATACTAGGACTTTTAAAGTTTTCAAACCACTTAAAGCTCCATTTGAAAGTGATGATATTGGGTTTCCGCTAAGTATAAGGTTCCTAAGTTCTTTTACATGAGCAAATATACCATCAGGTAGACTTTGTATTCTGTTTGACGACATATCGAGATGTCTGAGAGCAGCCATGTTCTGAAAAATGGATGTGCCATCAACTGTCAGGCCTTGTAAATCACACGACTTTAGTATTAGAGTGGTAAGTAATGGAAAAGATAATGGAAAATGGTTTGTTATATTTCTTAAGCTAGTCCTTATGCTAATCCATCGCGCCTCAGTTGTTATGTTGCTCAAGTGAAGATCATTACTTTCGCTTTCGCAGGTAAAGGCTAGTGTTTGACAGGAACATCCGGTTGGACACGTTTCTTCACAGTGACTTTCATCGTCTCCAAGGGGACAATGCCTTACCCCGTCACAAATATATGAAAATGGAATGCATGGGCGACCACCTCGACATCGGTAGTGATTTGTACAGTTAGGTGAATCTGAAAATGTTGGTGGATAAGTGATACATTATTTTTACAGATTTCAATAGAGAATAATGGCCATATTGTTTGTCCTATGAGAAATTGATGTTTTCCAGAAAAAAATAATATAAATTCGGTATATAGCATATCACAGTTAAGCGAATTAAAAAGAAATATCATTTAAACTCAGCATAAAGAGGTCTATTTCTTAAATCTCAAATGCAATAAAATCTGACATCGTTTACAAACACATTAGTTATATAACTAAAATCATGAAGTTTATCGATTAATAAATGTAAGATTGATATAGTATTTTACAGCAATATACGAAAACACTGATCTGTAAACCTACGATTTGTTAAACTTCATTAAAAATTATTATTTTGAGAGTTGATCTTTCTCCATCCCACAAGACTGTATTATTTGCATTGATTCCAGTCATTGCGGCAAATGTGCATGAAATGTACGACAGATTGATGGCACAGATGTTATTGTTGTTAGAATAAAGGCGTGTATGTTATTATGTTCTATTGATAGGTTTTCTCTGGTCGACAATATCTTCATCGAGATTGATGGTAAGATGGCCTATCTATGGGAATTTAATGTGTGTTGGTCGATTTGTTTTTGCGTTCGTACGAATCTGAATTCATCGAAGAGCTTATCACAAACAGGTCACAAAGAAAGTAATTTATTTTCACTTCCAAACATATTGATTATTGACTTTTAATAATAAGAGATTTATTGACAATGTACATCTTATATATCCACCAGAATTTGAAAGCAAGGATTCGGCAACCTCATCTACATTTGACACTTATCTCGACATTCTTTTACAACGAAATCAACACTGCCACTTTTCATCAAGCTCGTATGATAAGCCTGATTATTTCAATTTTCTTAGAGTGAATTTTCCCCTTCTGGATAGCAACTGCCCTGCTTCCCCACGTGTTAACATGTCGGAGGTGATTCGATGTCCAAGAGCCTGTTCCCATTATCATAATTGTTGAGCTAGAGCAGATAGACTTTTAATACTGGATTTCAGAAAATTCAGGTAATTGATAATTATGGGGATGTCTTACAGTCGTCTTAGTAATCTGATTGAAAATATCATATTTCTTTGTGTATTTGACGCTTTAATGCTCGTTAGTTTGCCTGTTGGTTCCGTTGTTGTATCATTATTCTCACTGCGGGTATGTACCTTTGCAGGAGTTTCCTAGTAAAATTTTCCTTTTGTTTATATTTTAATTTTGTTTATATATTGGATTTGAGTTTTGATTATGATTGTTAACATATTGGTATTTTCTTGTTGCTCTTTAGCCAAATTCTGTAAAACCATTTCAAGAAGAGAGATAACATCACGCTCACCACAGTCTAATTCGTCCTCACGGTTTGGACAGTGCCCAGTACCGTCACATATATATTTCATATGGATACAGAAAGAATCTGGACATTTAACATAGTATTCGGGACACGTGAAACGATCTGAAAAAAAATAAAGAGGGATGGTTGCTACATTTCAATCTTTCTTCACGTAATAAGTATTCTTACAGTATTATAGTATATAGTCACGTAGGATATGATATGTTATCAAATTAATTCCAAACTTTGTAACTTTGATGATTGTCCGTATATTAATGTTATAGCGGATGAATTGATATTACTGTTTAGCTTCATTTGTGCATTTTTACAATCTTTCAATATAAACATAACAAAGGACTGAAATTATATCGCTTTCCTTCCTGCCAAATAACAAGATGATTTAAGTGTACATAATGTCATCAGTTACCACAGTTTTCGAGGTGCGTGAGGTCACGACAGGCCATCGGCTCTCCAGTAGGGTCAAAATTCATCAAGCACTGAAGGGATGGGTCATAATAAAGACCATTTTTACATGGAACGTAACTAGGCTGTCTGTTGTGATAGTGTAGATCTAAAATTTGAAATCAATATTGTGAATTATGATACCATTTATACTTTTAAACCAATAAACATCCCTACCAGCAAATGATTGACAAACCTCCATTAAATACAGCCAACATCTGATAAATAACGAAATAGTGCACATTAAGTAAAATATCTGCAATAGTTTAAATGAAAATTAGGTAACAGACATTAAGCCTCATAAATTTAAAATATATGTGTATACACTCCCATTCAATAATGCTTACACTAATTGTTCAATACTTTCAGAACTTGTTGATCTCAATACTTCAGAGTTATAATCCACTGCAAATATATTAAACACGTGTTGAGTCCTATATAGGCTGTGACATTGGTAAAATACAAGTCGTTTTAATTGTAAATAATGTTTTTAATTTCAAGTCAAAATGTATTCAATAATGCTTACACTTAGAACCAGATAGTACAAACCATTCAATAATGCTTACACTAGAACTTGTTGAAAGTCACCAGAGTACAAACCATTCAGTTACACTAAGAACTTGTTGATTCCAAATAATGCTTACACTAAGAACTTGTTGAAAGGTCACCAGAGTACAAACCATTCAATAATGTTGAGATTACACATTCAATAATGCTTGTTGAAAGGTCACCAGAGTACAAACCATTCAATAATGCTTACACTAAGAACTTGTTGAAAGTCACCAGAGTACAAACCATTCAATAATGCTTACACTACCAGAGAGTACAAACCATTCAATAATGCTTACACTTAGAATTTGTTGACAGTCACCAGAGAGTATAAACCATTCAATAATGCTTACACTACAAACCATTCAGAACTTGTTGTTGAAAGGTCACCAGAGTACAAACCATTCAATAATGCTTACACTTAGAACTTGTTGAAAGACAGAGTCTTACACTAGAACTTGTTGAAAGTCACAAAACCATTCAATAATGCTTACACTAAGAACTTGTTGAAAGGTCACCAGAGTACAAACCATTCAATAATGCTTACACTAAGAACTTGTTGACAGTCACCAGAGAGTACAAACCATTCAATAATGCTTACACTAAGAACTTGTTGAAAGGTCACCAGAGTACAAACCATTCAATAATGCTTACACTTAGAACTTGTTGACAGTCACCAGAGTACAAACCATTCAATAATGCTTACACTTAGAACTTGTTGACAGTCACCAGAGTACAAACCATTCAATAATGCTTACACTAAGAACTTGTTGAAAGGTCACCAGAGTACAAACCATTCAATAATGCTTACACTTAGAACTTGTTGACAGTCACCAGAGTACAAACCATTCAATAATGCTTACACTAAGAACTTGTTGAAAGGTCACCAGAGTACAAACCATTCAATAATGCTTACACTTAGAACTTGTTGACAGGTCACCAGAGAACTACAAACCATTCAATAATGCTTACACTAAGAACTTGTTGAAAGGTCACCAGAGTACAAACCATTCAATAATGCTTACACTTAGAACTTGTTGAAAGGTCACCAGAGTACAAACCATTCAATAATGCTTACACTAAGAACTTGTTGAAAGGTCACCAGAGTACAAACCATTCAATAATGCTTACACTAAGAACTTGTTGACAGTCACCAGAGTACAAACCATTCAATAATGCTTACACTTAGAACTTGTTGACAGTCACCAGAGTACAAACCATTCAATAATGCTTACACTAAGAACTTGTTGAAAGGTCACCAGAGGGTACAAACCATTCAATAATGCTTACACTAAGAACTTGTTGAAAGGTCACCAGAGTACAAACCATTCAATAATGCTTACACTTAGAACTTGTTGACAGTCACCAGAGTACAAACCATTCAATAATGCTTACACTTGTTGAGAACTTCAATTGCTTACACTAGAACTTGTTGACACCAGAGTACAAACCATTCAATAATGCTTACACTAAGAACTTGTTGAAAGGTCACCAGAGGGTACAAACCATTCAATAATGCTTACACTTAGAACTTGTTGAAAGGTCACCAGAGAGTACAAACCATTCAATAATGCTTACACTTAGAACTTGTTGAAAGGTCACCAGAGTACAAACCATTCAATAATGCTTACACTAAGAACTTGTTGAAAGGTCACCAGAGTACAAACCATTCAATAATGCTTACACTTAGAACTTGTTGAAAGGTCACCAGAGTACAAACCATTCAATAATGCTTACACTTAGAACTTGTTGACAGTCACCAGAGAGTACAAACCATTCAATAACGCTTACACTAAGAACTTGTTGAAAGGTCACCAGAGTACAACCCATTCAATAATGCTTACACTTAGAACTTGTTGACAGTCACCAGAGAGTACAAACCATTCAATAATGCTTACACTAAGAACTTGTTGAAAGGTCACCAGAGTACAAACCATTCAATAATGCTTACACTAAGAACTTGTTGACAGTCACCAGAGTACAAACCATTCAATAATGCTTACACTTAGAACTTGTTGAAAGGTCACCAGAGTACAAACCATTCAATAATGCTTACACTTAGAACTTGTTGACAGTCACCAGAGTACAAACCATTCAATAATGCTTACACTAAGAACTTGTTGAAAGGTCACCAGAGTACAAACCATTCAATAATGCTTACACTAAGAACTTGTTGAAAGGTCACCAGAGTACAAACCATTCAATAATGCTTACACTAAGAACTTGTTGAAAGGTCACCAGAGGGTACAAACCATTCAATAATGCTTACACTAAGAACTTGTTGAGAACTTGTTACACTTAGAACTTGTTGAAAGGTCGCCAGAGAGTACAAACCATTCAATAATGCTTACACTTAGAACTTGTTGAAAGGTCACCAGAGTACAAACCATTCAATAATGCTTACACTTAGAACTTGTTGACAGTCACCAGAGAGTACAAACCATTCAATAATGCTTACACTAAGAACTTGTTGACAGTCACCAGAGTACAAACCATTCAATAATGCTTACACTAAGAACTTGTTGACAGTCACCAGAGAGTACAAACCATTCAATAATGCTTACACTAAGAACAATAATGCTTACACTAAGAACTTGTTGACAGTTGACAAACCATTCACCAGAGTACAAACCATTCAATAATGCTTACACTAAGAACTTGTTGAGTAGGTTCAATAATGCTTACAGAGTTGAAAGTACAAACCATTCAATAATGCTTACACTAAGAACTTGTTGACAGTCACCAGAGTACAAACCATTCAATAATGCTTACACTAAGAACTTGTTGAAAGGTCACCAGAGTACAAACCATTCAATAATGCTTACACTTAGAACTTGTTGAAAGGTCACCAGAGAGTACAAACCATTCAATAATGCTTACACTTAGAACTTGTTGACAGTCACCAGAGAGTACAAACCATTCAATAATGCTTACACTAAGAACTTGTTGAAAGGTCACCAGAGTACAAACCATTCAATAATGCTTACACTAAGAACTTGTTGAAAGGTCACCAGAGTACAAACCATTCAATAATGCTTACACTTAGAACTTGTTGACAGTCACCAGAGTACAAACCATTCAATAATGCTTACACTAAGAACTTGTTGACAGTCACCAGAGTACAAACCATTCAATAATGCTTACACTTAGAACTTGTTGAAAGGTCACCAGAGTACAAACCATTCAATAATGCTTACACTAAGAACTTGTTGACAGTCACCAGAGTACAAACCATTCAATAATGCTTACACTTAGAACTTGTTGACAGTCACCAGAGTACAAACCATTCAATAATGCTTACACTTAGAACTTGTTGACAGTCACCAGAGTACAAACCATTCAATAATGCTTACACTTAGAACTTGTTGAAAGGTCACCAGAGTACAAACCATTCAATAATGCTTACACTAAGAACTTGTTGAAAGGTCACCAGAGTACAAACCATTCAATAATGCTTACACTTTGTTGAGAACAAACCATTCAATAATGCTTACACTTAGAACTTGTTGAGTCACCAGAGTACAAACCATTCAATAATGCTTACACTAAGAACTTGTTGACAGTCACCAGAGTACAAACCATTCAATAATGCTTACACTAAGAACTTGTTGAAAGGTCACCAGAGTACAAACCATTCAATAATGCTTACACTAAGAACTTGTTGACAGTCACCAGAGTACAAACCATTCAATAATGCTTACACTTAGAACTTGTTGAAAGGTCACCAGAGAGTACAAACCATTCAATAATGCTTACACTTAGAACTTGTTGACAGTCACCAGAGTACAAACCATTCAATAATGCTTACACTTAGAACTTGTTGAAAGGTCACCAGAGTACAAACCATTCAATAATGCTTACACTAAGAACTTGTTGACAGTCACCAGAGTACAAACCATTCAATAATGCTTACACTTAGAACTTGTTGACAGTCACCAGAGTACAAACCATTCAATAATGCTTACACTAAGAACTTGTTGAAAGGTCACCAGAGTACAAACCATTCAACTTTGTATCGCCGCTGAAATTTTCCTCTACAGTACCATATTCTGAACGGATTTTTGATATGACAGGGTGTAACCATTCACGGATGTGGTTCATTGCTTGTGAAACGAACAAATTAACTTTCCTCTATTAAATTTCCATTTAGTAAGACTTTTTTTCCACATTCTACGATATGAAATGTAAACAAAAAGGTGTGTTCGTCACATGATGAAATAAATTCTAAATGAGATTAGATAAAAGAACAGAATTTCTGTTGACTTCTATTGTTACAGAAGATATCATTGAGAAAACTTTTGTAATCGGTGGCAGATAAACAGGTAAATTCTGTAGATAAGATTATACCGTGTATAATCAAAGCAAAGTTTTAGCGCATAGTCATGTTTTGGATTTAAGCACAATGATAAATGTATGCATTCATAATGACTGCTATATGAGCATAAAAAACACAAACATAGTATACAGTGTCTGCAACATTAAAAAAACGTTTGCAGTGTTTTTTTCCAGATAAGTTTAACCTGAAGATTAAATGACTGATTGGAAATGTTCATGGAATGGTTGGTAAAGTCAAAAGAGGTTTTTGTTTTTGCTATTCAATTTTTATCAGGATATCTATTCTCAGAAATGGTCCTGCTTTAGATATGAAAACTTTGTTAAATTACATATCAAGAAAAGTGTTATATCACATTTCACTTTACTTAGATTGACCGAGAGTCACGTGCCGAGTGGTATTGATAAAGCAGAAGACGTTTACCTTTCCGGAACATCTGGTCTTATTGTTCTTTGATAGTGTTTAAGTAATTTTTCTTTGTATTTTGTACTATATACTAGGGATAGGGTTTTCTTTTGTTGTTTTTGTAGTCAGGTCAGTTAATCATATGTAAAATGGATATGATATATGTGCCTTGTAATGAAAGCTTTTACATAAACAAATCAATTTGATACGATATATAACTTAAAGTTACATCTACTCACTCAGCTCTAGTACATAATCCAAAACATCCTTCGTAATCAGCAATTTCCATACTGTGTAAATCACCATCTCCGTTCGTCCACTCAATCACAACTCCAGGGATGTAAACGAAGTAGCTACATGGCCGAATATACTGCACACAAGATGATGCTGCAGCTAGCATTGCCTTCTGTTGAAATCGAGACTGGTAAGCGATCTCTTGAAATTGCCTATTGGACCACTTTGTCTCAAACCAAAATGCATTAGACACAATTGATACTACCTCGTATGGTATCACTACATCTTGTTCTGGTAAGAATGTCCAGGTTGTGTCAACTGTCATGTTGGAGATGAGGCAGTGTACGCTTACTTTTCCTGCAAGAAATAAATATATACGAACAAAGAATATATATTCTTAAATGTTATTAAACACATCCAACACTTGACCTTTACTACGCCGTCAAATGACAGTTCTATTTCATGGAATACAACATCGGTACTGAATATCAATTTCAGTTTAAATCGAGCTATCGCCTTTATACGTAAATTATCTTAACATAACCATTCAACTGTCTTCTTATGATTTTTGTAATCATTTGTAAACAAATCTCTTATTTATAACGACTTAAAGTGTCATGAGATAACAATATTGTACTTTTTGCCTCATTTTCCATTCTGAATGAAATAGTTATATTTTGTTTTCTTGCTTCAAAATTCAGTGTTCTTTTCAGAGTCCTAGCCAATGAAATAAAATCCTTAAACATAATGTAACTGAACGTAAAAGTACCGTATTGTGGCATTCCGTAGTCAACCGATACCTCAGACGAGGCGACATCGTTTGTCCTTTCGACCCATGAAGAACAGGAGAAGTAGGTCGTAAATGACGAACATGATGATTCGTCCGATTTACAGTCATGCACACCGTCACATTTCCTCGCCAACGGTAAAATACGGTTCGGTTCAAGGCACCGGAAAGTATATTCTGATGGTAGAACGTTTCTATCTGAAACAAAGAACGCGTAAATCATGACAAATTAAAGCGACTATAGTTGGGATAATTACAAGTTCTCTTCTTTGTTAACACGTTTCTATTTTCTAAAATCCCAACAATATTTTGTCAATTCTTAAAAATAAATCTATGACGACGATATTTCATTATTGTATCCGTGATTACAAAGTACAAAATTCAAAAGTAAAAAATATAATAGATCGTTGTACAATTAAAGCATAAATACAATAGTTTTCTTTTCTTTATATTTTGCTCTTATTCTTCTTTCTGTCTAAGACTTTGTATTTCATAGAGGAATCACCTTGTTGATTTCTGTGCAAGACACATGATAATCATCTCGTGTAAATCTTAATGTAAAAAAATTATATGAATTCAGATTGATGGAAAGTAACAGTAACCCTCCTCTTGTCAAAAGTTTGGTCTACATAATATATTAATACCTGTACAGAGTTCGTGAGATTCGTCACTTCCATCTACGCATTCCAGGTCACCATCACATATATCATAAACTGGTATACATTCCTTATTAGCACATTGCCAATATCCGTCATCGCAAGAAGGGTGATCTACAATATGAAATAATTTTCCTACATCGCAAAAAGATAGTAAAGTTTCTTAAGTCGTTTATTTTATTTTCATAACACTCTCAAAGTAAATCAGATTATATTCAGGTCACCATAAAACTCCTGAACTAATAGAGATAACTGACATTTTATGGCCTTGTACACTTTGTTTTTACATATTTTTAGCGATATTGGCCCCTGTAGAACCCCAACAATTTGAAATACTAATATATATTTTTTTTTGCTTTTAAATGACACCTTTAACGGTTTTTCGAATTTCCTGAAATTATCAACAAATGTTCTCATCCTCAAGCGCCAAATAAAGATTGCATCAAAATTTGAAATACATGATTCAGTTCTTTGCAAAAATGTCAATAAAAATAATACATTTCCACTTTTTTATTTTGCAATATTTTTATACATATTTACCACCATATTGCCATACTGGTCCTTGTCTATCCAACATGATATCACTTGGTAATGAATACTGTGGTTTTAATACTTTTTTCAAAAGAAAATACTGAACCCTGTCATACTCCTATGGTTACGACACTAAATGGGTGGTAGCACAGGCTCTACGGACCTTTTGATTTGTTTTTTTCGGGTTGTCACTCAAGGTGCTACAAATACCATCCATTTTCATTTAATTTGGTGCTTGGGTTAAATTCCATTGCTCTTGAAAGAGATCCTTTGCCATTCAACGTTCAATGAATAACTTCGGCTGTCATTTAATGAACTGGAATTCGGATTATTATTCTGTTATTCCGATGTTCTTTGAGAAATAAAATGCTTTATTTATGGAATAAAGTTTTACATCCTTTCATAATCATGTGTGTACGTATTCATACTTTGCTCTATGAGTAAACTACAGATGACGGCACCATTTTATTTACTATAATAATTATAATGTATGGATAGTGTGCATTGGAACCCAGCACTCCCATAAATCCCAGGGTCGCTGTTATATTACGTGTCATCATTAGGCTACTTTAAAATAAACACCAAAGAAAAAATACTTTATCTTAATTCTTATTATTGTTTTTTTTACCAAAACATTCACGGTCAGAAAACAAATGATGCGGTTTTATATATTCTGATATCGGTTCTTCCTGTACTGCTATATAGGAAGAATCTACGATAGAAGCCTTTTTGGCATGTAAAGGCAGCAGATATGATTTAGGCCAGAGACAACTGAATTTGTCCTTCTATTCCTTATAAGGAGAGCCTGATAAGCAGGTGTAATGATGATGAGTAAGAGGATACATTTTAAAACTACATTAAAAAATTACAGAAAGAAAATATTAGAAAAAAGATTTATAAATTGCAATATTTAATGTCATATATGCATATAGGTTGTTACATCAATATATTATATACGAATGATTACGTTAATGACAGTGTGGATGATGTCTGTTAAATGAGAGCACTCCTATGTTGTTTTTAACATAATTCCTTTGTAAATAAAACGTTCGGGGGAAAAAAAAGATATGAAAAATAAAACGTAGCATTAATATGAAAGTTTTCACATACTACATAATAACTCATCTGAGCCGTCGGCGCAGTCTTTTATAAAGTCGCAACTTTTGGATGCTGGAATACAGGCGCCGTAATCACATTGAAAAGTAGCGCCAAGGCATCCTCTGTCTGTGAAAATTTTTTAGAAAATACCAACATGTAAACATTATCATAATCAAAACACAAAGTCCTCAAAACTAGTGAAAAACAGGAACAAAAGAAAGATTAACACGGAAACTCCTGGAAAAGTAGAATTAGACAATGTGTTCCGGAAGAGCAGTGTCTTTTTTCTTCTTCGACAGCACCGGCCATGTAAACCTCGATCAATTTAAGTAAGAAGCGTCAAGTTCTTAAAAACAAGAACAAGGTAGACAACAACGGAACCAACAGGCAAACTAACGAGCATTAAAAACATATCAAGCTTCATATCATACAAAGAAATATATTATTTCTCAACCAGATCACTATTGCGACCATTTCATTACCCTGCATCATCTGAAACCCTGTGATTTCTTACACGAAAATCGCAATGATGGAAGCGGGCCTTTAAATATTTAATCCACTGTGAAAGGTAAATACCATGGGTTAGAGATGTTGAATATTGCTTTCAAGAAATAGAAAGTTCACAATAAGTAAATTGAAATCATCACTTTTATCAGACAGCATAGTAGAAAGTTGTCCATGTTGATTTCGTTGTCGGAAACAAAAGAGATATTCAGCTGATGTAGAAGAGTATATCGTGTCTTTGAAATCCAATTTTGGTGGGTATATATGATGAACTTAGTCAATACACTTCTTGTTTTTGACAGACAACACGTTATCAATACATATGAAAGTGAAATTTAAATGGCTTTTCAAGGTCTTTGTAACCTGTTTTGATAAGCTGTTCAATAAAGTCAGCCTCGTATTAGAACAAAAACAAGTCAGCCAACAGAGGGGCGCAGTAACCAGACTCTCGATCATTTTTACAATTTCGCCCTCCGTATATATCTACTAACGAAATACGCTTTAGTACAGTTCTCAACCATGTACGTATGCCGCCTTGCATCTTTCTTGGAGATGAAAGTTCTCATAATAAGAAAACAACGAAGCAGTCAGTTTTGAATGAGGTATTGAGGTGTTCAGGGTGGAAAATCAAATCATTTTCCAATAGAAGGCATTTTTTCTGGAAGAGGGTGTTGAAGATTGGTCAAAAGCTCTTTGGAGGTCTTCTATATTCGCATGCTATCAATTCCAGTTCTAGAGCAAACAGCATCACAGTAAGAACGAAGAAGTCTCACACTTTTGGATGTGGTATGGATGTATTCAGGATAGAAAAATCAAATTTTCTAATAAAAGGTATTTTTGTTTTAAGAGGGTATTAAAAATTGGTCAAAAGCTCTTTGGTGTTCTTCCCAATTCGGATGCTATCGATTCCACTTCTTGTGCAAACAGTATCACTATAAGGCTGTAACACAATTTTTACAGCATTTAAAATAGAGACTAGTAGTTTGAATAAAAGTGTGTAATTTTGGCTAAAATATAACTTCAAACTTTTGATGAAATATTCATTTTTTATAATCCTTACACGATCGAGGTATCATTAAATCATTAGAGAACCGGCCATCAATGATACGTTTCATGTTATGTCCTTTACTTACCACAGGTCATTTCATCTGTAACGTCATTACAGTCAGATGTTCCATCACATAAATAAACAGCAGATATATACTCGCCCGAATGACAATGGAACATCGCCTTGTTTCCGGTGTAGTCATAGTTACCTGTTGGCAGACTGAGACCTTCAATACAAAAAAACACTAAGATAATACCGACATGTCAAAGTCGTAAATATATATATATAAAGGAATATTTCATATCTCTAAGAATGCAGCTTAGATTAAACACAGATAATCTATAGAGATCTTATAATAATTATACAACACATTTTATAATGATAATATATCAGGATTGTAAGTGTTTGCCAGGTTGGAAGCTGTGTATACAACATCGTTTATTACAGGAATTGACATTTCAAAATCTGATTAAGTATTAAGGAAGAATGATATTTTATGCAAATGTTAATATGACTATATATATTATTATTTATAAAAGTATGCCATGCCTACCTTTCTTTTCGATTTGTCTTTTCATACAGAACCTATTTTCCTATATATTAATTAATTACGGTGATAAGTACGAGGGCTGATTGATGATTGTGAGTCACATATTTAAACGTTTGATTATTGGTGGACATATTGCATTATTTTTAACAAAATCCCCCTCAGTATATATTATACTTTTGCTAGCTATGTCCTCCACTGCATGTATGACGTCACTACCCAACCTAAAGTGGACACCGAAAACGACATTTTTTTCAATTTTGGAAATAGATAGAAGTATGATCTAGCGATATCAGGCGGATAAGGTGAGTGCTCAATCAGTTCAAAGGCACAGTCGTTGATGGAAGCCGCCATCACGATAAGACTTGTAAACAGTGGCATTGTCCTTTCAGAACAACCCCTCTTTGCTGAGTTAACCGCGTCTCCAGAGTTTAATATTATCTCTTAACTGCCTAAGAAGTGTTACATGATATGTGTCATTTATTGTTTGTATCTTTTATAAGCAATCTGCCCTCAGAATACCACCAGCATCCCAGAAAACCGAGACCATAACATTTTCAACTTATCGGATAGCTTTTCCTTCTTTGGCGGGGGATGCATCAGAGTGCTTCAATCATTTAGAACGGTCAACTGTAAGATGTCTCGGTATATAACGGGCTGAGAACTTTCTCATTACAAGATTTTCCGTAAATATGGAATATAAGCTTTCCTGTGAAACCTCCCCACCCCCTACCCCCATGTACTGGCTATATATTTCTACATAACTCGCCTGTCAGCCATAACAATACCATGGATTGTTTTACCATTTCTGGAATCACCTCCTAGGACGGACGTACAGTTCGCCAATTCAGATTTAAATTATTTGAAACGAGATAGATTAAACTCGTCACGAAGTTTTCATGCTCAGCAAAATGAAAACGTCTAAGAGCATCATAAAACCCTCTATGTGTTAATGCCTGATCTAACCATATCTATCCGTACGTAGATGTTCCATTCGCCATTCACACGCTACATGTGTGTCGTCTAATGCTGGAACCCACGTAATGCTTCTCAAGGATTCTCTATATACCATCGCTACCACAACGGGATAGTCTTCAAGGCAAACGAAGCAAGACAAATCGTCTATGCTGGAAAAAGAAAGCTATCTTTCACAAGGCATATGATTTAAGGATACAGAACGTAAATATGTGGATGATGATACAGCCAGCATCTGTGATCAGATCTTGACTTTCAATGGACCGTTTTTAAAACATGTATGTGACAGGTTAACGTCGCGGGTAGAAGCCGAGAACTCCACAAAGGCGAGTAAGAAACCCAAAGTCAGCTGAAATAATATTTAGATGGATATGTACCGTAACTCTAGAATCTAATGACCTTCATACATTTTAAAATTCACCTCAACACTTGTACATGCATTGGTGTAAGTAGTTTTCTGTGAAGCTAGCTTACAAGAGGTGACTTGACCATGATCCTATTTCAACACATACGAACAGCGCTATCATTATTTTTAATGTTTTTAACCTGTATCATTCTCATGGAACTGATTTTGAGACTAACCAATGCATAAATGTAATTAAAGGAATGACTTGTGAAATGAAAATTTTTTTCTGCATGACAAATGGAGAAATAAAATGTTTTACACTTCTCTGAATGTTAGTGGTGAGCCATCTGCCCATACGAAATTCTGCCATGATAATGTATTTGCAGTCAAACTCAAGCCTGTGTAAAAAGACAAAGTGAAAAAAGTTATATAACTTCTCTAATGAACAAAAAAATTGTTTTCTAAACTTTTTTTATTTGGCTGAATAACATAACAAAGTGACTGTAAACCAATAAAAAAGCTGCTTGCGGTATATGCTTAGATATATGTAACAATGCATGATTATTTCAGAACAGTGTACAAGGGCCACGTAATATTATTTGCAAGTATCCCATGTATTTGAAAAAAAAGAAGGAAAAAAAATATATATACATATACATTGGTCGTTTAATTTCATTGCACAAGGAAACGATTCACTTAATATAATTTCTTCTCATGCTGTTTATAAAAAACTTGCAGAAACAGGCTACCATATATGTATATATCATTTTGATCTTTTCAGCTTCAAACTCACCTATGTTTACTAGTGTTTCTAAACGAAGTACATGAAAAGAGAATCCGTATACCATGGTAGATTTGTGTGCATTATGGATGGATGCTATTGTTCCATTGTTGGCAGCACATGAAGACGCACTAATTACCTCTATACACGAATCCAAAAAAGCAAATTCATAGACATGCCTATATATGTGTTTGGTTTTATAAATTCATGTTAAATCTAACGACTTACAGTCGTGAAATGGCGCAAATTATGTTATTCATATTGTTGCTCAGGAATATATTTCTCGCAACATATATATAAATCTAAATTTTGTTTGTGCTGCAAAAAATGCGAAAAAGTGTATCCATTAGATACCAATAACCTGTGTTGGCATGGATGGAAGCGCGCGAAAGGTCTTATTGTGGCAGATTTCCCGGGGAATAACCACATGGTTTGATAAGTAACTCCTTTCTGTTGTACGTCTATTCGAGGAATCGAACCCCGGACGTATAGGTGAAAGGCAATTCGAATGCGTTATCACTGGGGCAGCTGTATGTGGTCGTCATAAAACATTATTACTTATCTGATTAAGATCTACGACAGAAAACGGCTGTAGTTAACAGATTTTTTCAATGAGATTGGTCGTTAAATATTTAGATAAAAATCATGTAAAAACAAATATTACATATTTTTGGGGGAATATATGCTAAACGAATGAGAGGACAAAGCAACCATTGAAACCAGATTTCATTCTGCAATTGTAATATAAATAATACATACATGGACGATGGATCCTAAGCTGTTGTGAAGTTTCTAGAAATCCAGTCATAACAAATGATTTATAATGGTTTAGTTATATAACATCGATCAGCTTGATATTTGAGAAAATCATAACAACAGAATGGTTCCCCATATAGATATATGTTGTTACTCACCCCGCTATCAGAATACCATTTTGTCTGCACGACTCTGTCGGAAATAAAATCAGACATTATGTCATCGCTGATAATTAGTAACTAATCTTAACGCTAATTTCGTATGTTTTCCATCCATATTTTATGTTGTTATCAGCAACAGCTTCCGACGATAATAGAAAGAAATATTTACTATAATTAAATTAAATTGATAATATTGTTTTTGTAAAAGAATTATAAAATTTAATATTTATATCCCAAAGAAATGTTATAATCGACATCACCTTTTATGAAATTACGACATGAATATAATCAATTAAAACTGATCAAGAATTAAGACAATCTTAGTAATAAGAGCTAAATTGAACAGCACCATGTTTTGTTTACGTTGTTTATAAAAAACAAATAAACAAAACAATACCACCACGTGAACAGAATTATACTCCAAACTTCAATACAATAGGATAAGAGAAAACTATGGACAAAAGTAAGATTTACACGGAGATTCCAGAAAAAAAGTAGAATAAGACCATGTGTTTCGGAAGAGGAAGTGTCTCTTGCATTTTGAATTTCTTTGTAGTAGCTGTTGGTTTTCACACAACACGTTATGGTGGAGACATTAAATACAGCGATTTTTGATAAAGCGCTTTGCCTGATAGCTATAGAACGACATGAAAAAAAGGTCTTTGAGTGCAGACTCCCAAGGAAACCCTATCGTACTGATAAAGATCGTAGCACACACGAGGGATCTTCCTGTGAAACAGACCGATTCTCTACCTATGGATCTAACGCTGTTAAACATGATATGCAATTATGGGTTAATTTTACTTACCATATAAAACATCGATGAATATTGTTTGATCGTTATCCCTGTTACTCATATCTAAGTAACAATGGGTTGTCATGCATTTGTACCATCCCCTGTGGACCAGGGACAAGCTCGGTATAATGAGTGTAAGGGATTTCCAACCCTGATTATATTCAAGCTGAGTAAGGACCCATATCTCGGAGGGTAAGCGTCGGAAATACCACCCGTATTGTTGACTGCCATTGAAAGTACACGTCAGGTTTAATGGTTCACCTTGATGATAGCTTGTGTTTTCCGGTCTGTAAATGAATGGACCTTTAAAAAAAGTTGCAAATCATTAAATCAATGCAACAAGTACTATCAACAGTAAATACGTATGTACGTTATCCAACCATTACCACCCCCTACGTTATGCAAAAGTAATTTTCGATTTTATATTATTGACAATTTAGGACATGAAATGCATTGTAATTTCACAATTTGAGTAGATAAACACATGTTATAGCGCTTAGCACGGTTTTATTAGCCTAGCCAAATCACTTATTTTTTTGTTTTACTCCACGTTAGTAAGTTAAACGAACTTTTTCATATTGTCTAGTAGGTTGAGATTTATGTCATCCGAATAAATTCATCAGTCACATTCGACATTTATGTCAATAGAAACGTCTGGTAGCAGCCAGGAAAGACATGTGAATAATAGCATGGATTAGTGATTGACTTTGTCTTGAACAATACGAAATTTCTTTGATGCAACCTGGACAGAATTCATGCCAATCTAGGCAAATCCATGAGACAAATTATGTCCCTTGTTTTGCAATTTTAACTGCAGTATAAAAATCGGACGGGAGTAAGTATGAGCCTATTATACACTACGTCTATCTATGTGAAGCTTTGATCGTCGAAGTGACAAAGACATGAAAATACCAATATGTGAACCAAATCAAATACCATAGTCAAAGATGTGGACCCTGGCTCACACCCATGACAGGGATCATAGAAAAGGCCATAGTACAGGCCATAGGGGACTTCGGGACTTTTAAACATAAATTCGTAGGAATTTAATGGGTTACTACAAATAACATGCAATAACGATGGAATTGGAATGTGGTCAAAATTACTTTTACCGTGAAACAGGTTCTTTAAGAAAGCTGAGACAAAACATGAACAAAAGAAAGAATTACACAGACTCCATAGTAAAGTTTTTTAAAAAATGGAGAATAAAACTAAGCGTTTCAGATGAGTTATAAATAGAACTTCTAGGGCAAAATGACCTGTTAAGAATTTCCTTAAAGTATTGTACCGTAAATCACTTGCATATCGTATGGTATTTATGTTCGGATTAATTAACTTTCCCTAAAGTATTTTACCGTAAATCACTTCGTGTGGTATTGATGTTCGCGTTCATTCGCTTTCCTTAAAGTTTTGTACCGTAAATCACTTCGTGTGGTATTGATGTTCGCGTTCATTCGCTTTCCTTAAAGTATTGTACCGTAAATCACTTCGTGTGGTATTGATGTTCGCGTTCATTCGCTTTCCTTAAAGTTTTGTACCGTAAATAACTTCGTGTGGTATTGATGTTCGCGTTCATTCGCTTTCCTTAAAGTTTTGTACCGTAAATAACTTCGTGTGGTATTGATGTTCGCGTTCATTCGCTTTCCCTAAAGTATTTTACCGTAAATCACTTCGTGTGGTATTGATGTTCGCGTTCATTCGCTTTCCTTAAAGTTTTGTACCGTAAATCACTTCGTGTGGTATTGATGTTCGCGTTCATTCGCTTTCCTTAAAGTTTTGTACCGTAAATAACTTCGTGTGGTATTGATGTTCGCGTTCATTCGCTTTCCCTAAAGTATTTTACCGTAAATCACTTCGTGTGGTATTGATGTTCGCGTTCATTCGCTTTCCTTAAAGTTTTGTACCGTCAATCACTTCGTGTGGTATTGATGTTCGCGTTCATTCGCTTTCCTTAAAGTTTTGTACCGTAAATCACTTCGTGTGGTATTGATGTTCGCGTTCATTCGCTTTCCTTAAAGTTTTGTACCGTAAATCACTTCGTGTGGTATTGATGTTCGCGTTCATTCGCTTTCCTTAAAGTTTTGTACCGTAAATCACTTCGTGTGGTATTGATGTTCGCGTTCATTCGCTTTCCTTAAAGTTTTGTACCGTAAATCACTTCGTGTGGTATTTCTGTTCGCGTTAATTCGCGAGGAGAGCCAATCACAAATTTCTCGCTATAATTTGTACGAATCTCTTGATGATCATTTTTGTTATCCATGTGTTAACTTGTTTTTATTTCCCTTTACACATGCATTGGTTTTATAAATAACTTATCATATTAACAAAAAACAGATCTACTTGACAAATGTTACTTTCAAATTCAACATATTCACAACTCGTTTAAACGGCATCCCCATACTGTTGACTGTAGCAGAAAATTGCGTCATTAAAATGTACAACTGTAGGACATGTTTCGGGCATGCGTTAATCCATCACCGCTGCTACTTTTGTGTTAAAATGTTAACAGAGTTGATGACTTACGAAGTATCATTATTATATCATTAAATTTCATTATTTACAAATATTAAGTAAATAATAAGATATAAAACCGTTGTTCAACTTCTGTATGATAAGTTTAGATATGAATGTCAGGCCTATTGATCTCCTGGTGACCAAAATGAAGCTATAAGTTGCCGATAAAGGATCGTTGCAGAATCCATTTCTCAAATAACTCAGCATTCGGAAATTTAAAATCATTTCTAGATTAGCGTTCGCGAAATCATCAATCCTCGAATATGTTTGCAGAAATAAGTTCACGAAATAATGTATTCACGAAATTTAAGTGATTTACAGTATACATGTGGGGGTTCCAAAGGATTGAAAACTGATTTGTATCAAAGACATTTGAACCGACCTAGTCAGTATGTCGGGATGATTGGAGTTAGTACTAGTCGTCAGGAATGCATTGTTTTACTTACGATTTGATGGGTCAACACAGGGATCTTCGTTTTCCTCCGATGCAACTGTATATAAACATAAGTATTATGTCTGAGAAGATTGCATAAAAACACACAAGTGAATATACTCTTTCAATAAATAACAGTGAGATACAGTAGAGTCCAGTAATGAAACCATTTAAACTTAACATTGCATAAATGTAATAAAAGCTGTTTCCATGCTGTAAAACGCCGATCTATGAAGTCGAGACAGAACCTGTACTCTCAGTAAAATGTTTTTATTCCTAAATAGTCGAAGTGCTAAGAGCTTGGACCCAGTCTCATCAGTCCCTAACATCGCAGGCAGTTAATGGGAACTCGCATATCAAACTAGATTACCCGACTTTAAACAAGCTTCATGAAGATGTTTCCTTACTGTCAGACTGATTACCATGGTAACAAACTTAAACCAGCTTCATGAAGATGTTTCCTTACTGTCAGACTGATTACCATGGTAACAAACTTAAACCAGCTTCATGAAGATGTTTCCTTACTGTCAGACTGATTACCATGGTAACAAACTTAAACCAGCTTCATGAAGATGTTTCCTTACTGTCAGACTGATTACCATGGTAACAAACTTAAACCAGCTTCATGAAGATGTTTCCTTACTGTCAGACTGATTACCATGGTAACAAACTTAAACCAGCTTCATGAAGATGTTTCCTTACTGTCAGACTGATTACCATGGTAACAAACTTAAACCAGCTTCATGAAGATGTTTCCTTACTGTCAGACTGATTACCATGGTAACAAACTTAAACCAGCTTCATGAAGATGTTTCCTTACTGTCAGACTGATTACCATGGTAACAAACTTAAACCGGCTTCATGGAGTTATTATACGTTATCAAGTAAGCCCGGTTTTTTACATAGGAAATGTAAAAATGTTTGCAGACAAGGGTCAAGTTATTGGACGCCGTCTTATCTGCAGATACGATAACATACATGTCGTATAAAACTTGAAATGTGGATTTAACATCAAGATTGAGGAGTACTGACCTGTCCTTTCTTTTGGTATTTGATTTCAAAATGCAAATTATTTTATCAAAGATGGACCGATTGGACTGGAACCCACTCAGGAAGTATTCACATTGTTTACACTAAACGTTCAGACACCATGAAAGTTCAGTGTAACCAGACGTAGGGTAAAGCCATCGTGCCTTTGTTCATTTTACCGTTATTTTATCGTTAAATTGTAGAAATTATGATTTCGAAAGGGGTATACAAGTGGAAAAACGTACACCCGCTTCTGATTTATATATATATTTTTCATTTAGTTCATTTTATCCAGTACAACAGTACTGTTAATGGTGAAACGAGATCCTCAGGTGTATGGCTAGGACGGTGATCTGTCAGCTGTCTGTGACTACCCACAGTGACTAACGGTGTACTGTATAACTCTGGGTAGGCTGACCAAACATAGCAAATTGTCTTCATGTATTAACAAAACATGTCCGGATTATTGCAGGAATATTACTCTGAACTGGAATTCGAATTTCCGGACCAGTGGGTACAATTAACGTTACGTAGATCCGTCCCGCAACATTTCCGTCCGGATGGTGATTTTCCCGGATTGTCGGCTTCCGGATTATTTCAGGTCCATTGTTATATTATAATATTCCAATTGAAAAACCCATATTTGAAATAACAAAAAATAATTTCACAATTCAAAGGAAATATGTTGGCATGATAAATTTAAACTGCTGTCTATGGTAGGTAAAACATACATACCGGGTATGATAACAACACTTTTCGTCAGGCTGTTTTCTGTGATATTGGCGCATTCCTCTTCTGCTGTTCTTGCATCTGATACCAAGCACCACACAACTATTGTCCGTGTATCATTAGGAATGGTTAGGATAGCATTAGTTTTGACTATATAAGTACAGCCATCTAGTTCAATGATCGGTGAAAAAATCACCAAAGGTACGTTGATAGTCTGTAAGGGGAAGTAACTTAAATCACCAAAGGTACGTTGATAGTCTGTAAGGGGAAGTAACTTAAATCACCAAAGATACGTTGATAGTCTGTAAGGGAATGTAACTTAAATCACCACAGGTAAGTTGGTAGTCTGTAAGGGGAAATAACTTAAATCACCAAAGGTACGTTGAAAGTCTGTAAGGGGAAGTAACTTAAATCACCAAAGGTACGTTGATTGTCTGTAAGGGGAAGTAACTTAAATTACAAAAGGTAAGTTGATTGTCTGTAAGGGGAAGTGACTTAAATCACCAAAGGTCCGTTAGTAGTCTGTAAGGGAAAGTAACTTAAATCACCAAAGGTACGTTGATAGTATGTAAGGGAAAGTAACTTAAATCACCAAAGACACGCCGGTTGTCTGTAAGGGAATGTAACTTAAATCACCGAAGGAACGTTGATTGTCTGTAAGAGTCAGTAACTTAAATCACCAAAGTTACGCTGATAGTCTGTAAGGGGAAGTAACTTAAATTACCAAAGGTAAGTTGATTGTCTGGAAGTGGAAGTAACTTAAATCACCAAAGACACGCCGGTTGTCTGTAAGGGTAAGCAACTTAAATCACCAAAGAAACGCTGATAGTCTGTAAGTGGAATTAATTGCAATCATCTTAACGTCAAACATTAATTACAACTCTCTCCAAACAAACAAAAAATCAGCATCCTAGTAAATCGTTAAGTGGACGTCTTTCAATCTTGTACCAAACAAAATATTATCATTTAGAAACCGACACCGGGTGACCATGTTAGGTTCTTAAAGTAGATAAAAATTACCATTACCGCTTTCACTTTAGTGGTAAATCGTGATAATTGTCATTGAGAAAGTATCCGGATTTATTGTAGATATCATCCTGGTCCGTGTTTACAGACTATCAGGAGAACATCAGTGGTAGATGTTGTACAAAACATAAACAAGTACACAACGCCGTTTAAAAATCAATTTAGAAATAGATACAGAAGAACGAAATTACGGCTTGAAATGCCTTATATGGTCATTTCGTGTTCCTAACACTACACGATGATCATGTTTAATGTTTGTTAAAATAATGAGCAGAACGAGAGTGGTGGGGGGAGGGGGGTGGGTTGTACAAAAGACACAAAACTTGACCTGTAGTTATTAATACTATAACAAAAAGTGTGTATTTGTCGTTTGCTTACAAATTGTTGGAGAATATATTTACTTTGATGATATAGCGTGATGAAATTCTCTTTTTTTCTTTTTTTTTTTTTTTTTTTCGTGCGGAAAACAAAATTTTGATTTTGAAATAGTTGAATTACTTACATTACAAGGATCCCCATCCGATGCTACCAGCCATTTGTGTGCCAGACCGTCACTGCCGGATAATCCTTTACAGGTCAGTTCCACTTTAGTGCCTACAGTATATTCATGCTGTAGTTCACTGTTCACATAACCAGGGTCCCTTAGTTCAATATCATTTGTGTAGAGAGTGTCAACTGCAAGAAATGTATAGTCACATTGGTAACGGATGAACTGTAGCACACAGGTTATAAATTGGTTAAGAATGAACAGTAAAACACACATATACATGTATTCGGTATCATCTTATATAAACACTTGTACATGGTATTTATTTTAGGTTTCAGGTGGATAAACATTTTTCAATAAAGAATAAATTATGACCGACCAGATGTTTTATATACGAAAGACGCCGGGTGATTGATTACTTTACTGCACTAAATGTTACAACCTGGAAACGGTACCTGGATCACCCTCTACCTGTCATATTTTAACGATTACAGACTAACGAGTTTTACCGCTCAGCCGTGAAAATCAACAAGTATAAACACGTAAGAAACACAACTAGAATATATCAACATTTATCCGTACGCATATTTAATACACTAGGACAAAATATCTAAATATTTACATGAAGACTCGTGAAAATATACAAGAAGACTAAGGCCAGGAGTTCCGAAGGAGTGCGCATTTTCTGTTTTATCGACGGCAGTAAGCAACAACGGAACCAACAGGAAAACGAACGAGTATCATGTACTTCCGGCTTCATGTCGTACATCAAATAGAATCTAATGAGATCTCTTTGACGACCGTATAACTTCCTCATACTTTTCATTTTTTTAAATCTTGTGTTAAGATTTTGTCCGTAAGTTGGCGACATCTTGCTTCTTCAAGATACATCTTAAAGTCAAAGAACAATGTTAACCGAAATGAAGCAATGATGATCAGGCCCTAAATCGTGCAACCAGTTCCTTGCTACGAATTTCAATTCAACGTCAGAAACATAACATTCAATATTATCCGAGATTTACCCACCTGCAGGGTTAAGTTGTATGTGCCTACTGTCAGAGAAAGCAGTTATTTGCCCGTTGTTGGTTTGGGCTGTCATGACACATCTATATTCCTTCGCATCATCACATAAGGTGTCGATTCGCTGAATGGCCAAACGAAGAAAGCAATAATTCGAACTAATAGCAGCAGTCACTTCTACACCTCTCCTGCTTCGCAATTTCTTGTTCCACCAACGTACAGCAGTTGTATTTTTTATTTTGACAGCGGAAACAATTTTGGTCAATAATGCTACAGAATGTTCTGTTGTCCGATATAAAGAAATGCTGTACACATCGATTACGTTATGTTGTTCTATAAAGGTTTGACAGAGGATACAGATTTCATCATGACCAGGAGATATCTCCATTGGAGATGTTTTAATATCCATCGTTGATACCAGAACTAGAATTAGGAAGATAAAAGATTGATATGTAATCGTAATTCCTTCCATGTTCAGTATTTCTAGAATTCAGTGTAGTTAAATGATCAAACAGCATCATACAGGCGTTTACTCATGCTAGTTGCTCAACGTGAGGAAAAACAATATTGTCCCGAAGAATTGCTAGAATCTATAATGTAAAGCATGGCTACTCAAAACCACAAAACGAAAACCTTGTTTTTTCAATATTTGAACGAATCTGCTTATCAAATAAATCAAAGTATGTTTTGTTGTGGTAAACGTGGAGAACTAAACGTTCACGTGAACAGCTTACCAAGGATATATAGTGATTAAAAAAGTGCATTATGTCATGATATTTATATGTCGAACAGCGATCGCTTTTTGATAACAGAAGCTGACTTTAAGTTGTTAGAATTTCACAAAAACGTTTGGTAAAACCGCCTTATTTCTACACTTGTTGTGTGACACATTTTTTTACGATTTGTAAAAGAGATATTTGCAAAACATTGGATATTTCGTGCTTTTGTTTGTAATGCTATTGTGATTTAAGAGTTCGAATGAAAACAATGTTAGACCTGTTAATGTTTATGGATTTATACAATTTATATCTGTCGCCAAACTGTTCTAAAATGAAAACTCGATATAAAAACCGATACAATTAAATATTTTAATGTTTTTATTACATTGGTAATTGATATCACTTACTTGGATGGTCTTCAACATTCTCTCCACATCCACTCTCCACGGCGTTTTCTAACACATTTCCTGTAGTTGTTCTTATTTCATCAACACTATTATGCATAGTGATCACGTGATTGTCTTGATTATTTAGATTAGTTGTCGATTCATTATCAATACCGTATGCAATAGTTGTGAATGATTCATCAATACTTTCTGTGTTAGTTTTCAGTATATTATCGATATCGTCTGCGTTAGTTGTCTCTTCATTACCAATAGCTCCTGAGCCAGTTGTAAATTTATCATCAATACCGTCTGAGTTAGTTGTCACTTCATCATCAATACCTTCTGAGCCAGTTGTAAATTCTCATCAACACCGAGTTATTCATTATCACCTTCTGAGCCAGTTGTAAATTTATCATCAACGTCTGTGTTAGTTGCCACTTCATTATCAATACCGTCTGAGCCAGTTGTAAATTTATCATCAACACCGTCTGAGTTAGTTGTCACTTCATTATCAATACCTTCTGAGCCAGTTGTAAATTTATCATCAATACCGTCTGAGTTAGTTGTCACTTCATTATCAATACCTTCTGAGCCAGTTGTAAATTTATCATCAATACCGTCTGAGTTAGTGGTCACTTCATTATCAATACCTTCTGAGCCAGTTGTAAATTTATCATCAACGTCTGTGTTAGTTGTCACTTCATTATCAATACCTTCTGAGCCAGTTGTAAATTTATCATCAACACCGTCTGAGTTAGTTGTCACTTCATTATCAATACCTTCTGAGCCAGTTGTAAATTTATCATCAACACCGTCTGAATTAGTTGTGAAATCAATATTCTCCACGTTTGTTGTTGTTACACTGTCTACACCTTCCGATGTTGAAATTGTTGATGTGCGGTCAAGTAATCCTTGATTTATCGTCACAATATTATCGCAATCCTCTGGCGAAGTAACTAGATTTTGATCGGTAATAATCGACATGTCTTTGACGGTGATTTTTGGGTTTGTCAGCGACTTGCCAATGTCGTCTGGCCGAGTTGGCAATCTGTTATTGACAATATCTGTTGTTGTAGATAAAGACGTTTCGGCGTCGTTGTTATTCGAAGCATTAGGCATTGCTGTCAAAGACAGAAGTATCACAAGTAATCGCCACATCAGTACATAGGAACGATTTTCTGTAATCAAATGCACAGGAAACTTTATCCAGGTCAGACCCAAATGAATTCTATCCAGACCGACAGAAATAGAAAGCATGAAATGGGAGCAATGAATATGAACGTATTATGGGTATATGGAATAGCCAACGAAATTACCAACACAACCCATATTGATTTTTTTCTCTTTTTGTCCGATATAAAACTGAAGTGATACCATGGTAGGTTTTATCAGTAACGACTACAAATAGGAATCACGTGTTCAACGGTTTTATAATATTTGAACATATCGATGTGTATCAAAAGCAATTTCACTCACTAATATAAGATTCTATCAACTAGTGTTTCGATTTAAAACGTTTTTAAAAAAAGCAGATAAAATGTCAATGAATCGATCTTATGATAAAAATGTTTACATTGCGAACGTTTTTCGCTAATCCATACTCGTTTGTATTGACCTAAACTATACACTCTTATCTACATAAATATTCATATCACCAGCTGGCTATTCCATGTGTTTTTATTATCATTACTATTATATATATATATATTTATCTGCTTTTTTTCAAATTGAGTCCGAGTTTAGTAGACAGAATTATCAATAATCTAGTAACACGAATGACAAAGGAAGGCCATTGAACCGTGTCTCGACATTGCACTAACGACCCATTATTATCGTCTAATAAAACAAACCACACGCTTGTCTCCAGTCGTGTTCATTTTGAACTGGTCAGTCAGACGCCGTTTCTAGTTTCATATATATGTCTTGGTTTTATATCAGTTGTGTGGGCAACCCGTGTCGATATAACTTTTCTGGATATTAGAATTGCGCGTAAACACTTCTTTGTACCACACAGAAATCATCTGACGGACAGGTGCACGACTGCATTGAATCGAGTTAGGGTAAGAGTAGGGTTAGAGTTATTCATTGTAACGAGGGCCGTTTTATACGTCCTCAAAATAAATTCAATCCGAAACTCTCCTCGCCGGCCATTTTGTTTAATCAGAAAAGGACTTACTCAAGTGGTTGATAATGCCATACATAATGTATACACCAATTTTCTTGGAAATCGAACGATATCTAAATTTCAACAAATAAGAAGCCGCTATGTAGCGGCCTTATTGTGAAAATGGCAAACAAATTGTGTAAAACCACAACGGCATACCTATGTTCATAGAAATCGAGTTTTCGAGGTACAGGTAACACCACACCTACGACGTCAAAGACATGTCCAGATTTTACCAATCAAAAGTCGGGGTTGACCGGTCAAAAAAGCTCTTGCACAACGCCTCTTATATACGAACATGTTAAATTTCCTCGACGGCGCAAGGTAGTTAGATAATCTGATTTTTTATCTATTTAGAATGACCGTAGTCTCTTTAAGACAACTAATCAAAGATTATATCGACAAATTAGATCATTCGACCTCATGGTGACTTGTTCTTGACTTTCAGTAGCATGCTAGGCACTTGGTTATGTATGCCTAGTTGCTTAAGCACTGGCCTGTAAACAGTCGATAAATTCAGGTAGTCCTAACTGAATAGTTTTTAACAAGGAATTGTGGTTCATTACTTGAAAACACCACCACCTTATCGGCTACTTTTTCTTTGCATATCAAGCTACACACAGCATTATTTAAATGATAACTATTTGTGAACTGCGAAGCGACCAGTCGATGAAATAAAGGGCCGTGTGTGTATGATTTTAAACAAGGAACTTCGGTTCATTACTTAGAAACACCAGAAACTTATCGGCTACTTTTCTTTGCGTAGAAATTTACATGCAAGAGTATTTATAGGTGAACTATATATGTATTACGGAGCGACCAGTCGATCAAATACCGGTGCCGTAGCTGTATAGTTTTAAACAAAGAGACATGTAACCGTTCTAAATCGGAATATAGTTATCAACGAACACCAGCGGAATATATGTTTGTAAGTATTTATATTGTGACAAATAGCATTGTCACTTTTAGATTTAGGGCACGCGTAGTGGAACTTGGTTCACTTCAACTTCAAATACGACTAGGGCACGTGGATACAGATATAATTAAAAATTTGTATTCTGCATGTTTAAAATTATCATAAGTACATGACGATAGAGTACAAACAGATAAATAAACTCATGGGAAAGAGACAAAGCCAATAAAATCAGAGTGTCGTAAACACGTCTGCACTCTTGGGAGTCCAAGCTCTGTCTACTAACACAAAGGAACACTACTCCCGAAGTCAACTTTCATACCAGTGGCCACTTGACTTACACACTCTGAAACCCATTACAAAACACAATATAAGTCCACTCGTCACACACTTTCGACCCACAAAGGACGACTCGTCACACACAGATACACGGACCGGTTGTACAGGTGACGTGGCAAAAAATAGATCACCTACCTAGACAACGGCATGAGAACAAATACTACAATAAATATCGGCATTCACTCACGCATGCATGCTCGTACACCATCCACACCACATCATCATAAGTTCGTGACAATATATACATCATTATTCCCCTGATCTGATTTGCATGTTAGTTACACTAGTGAAAATAAAAACAACTGATCCGAGTATATGTTGACTAAATTCAACGATCTGACCACTCGGGGGAGATTGTACAAAGTTTACATGGTTTAAATTCCAATTCAAGCTGGTTTGGCGCTATCCTCCTTTTATAAACATCTATTAAACGTTCCATGTATATTGAATAATATTAATTTACTGACGACGAGTTTCATTAAGAATGCGCTATTAATCACTGTGAATAGATATTAACCTCATCATTATATGTGTTGTAAAATAGATTTGGATAGGTAACTATATTGTGCAAATTCACTGAAACACTCAGTTCTAAAAATGGTTACAAATAAAACTAAACCAATATCGATGTCGAGTCTGATTTAATAGACCGTTGTAGGAGAAAAAAATCATCGCATGATTGTAAGGAGGCTTTCACTATGTTAACCACAAATAAAAATGTACTAATGTTTTGATAATTAGTAAATAGGCTAAAAGCAGCCTACATGTAAATTCTGTTGTAAATTTTCAGTGAACTCTAATGATAGACACAGCTGCTTTTTAAATACGTACGCCTTATATAGATACTTAATACCTGTTAGTTCATAATAATGATCAATAAATAGGTATTTAAATAATGATACTTATGTTTTGTTTTTTGTTTTGGCTTTTTTATTGATCGTAGTCACTACAAAATAACGCGGGGATGTTGAGGAAGGCTAACTTGCTATATACTATTTAAACTCACACCAAGCTGTCTGGAGTTATTTCCCTTGTTACAGGTGTGTGGTGTGCTCACGGTGTCTGCATGAGAAGTTCCACAGGAAAATTGGACGAAATAAGCTATCGCACATTTATGCGCACGATGTTCGATTCTAGACACACATTATAAATGTAAACATTAAATGTACATGTGTCACAGCAATGACTCATTTAAAATCTCATACCTTCAGAAAGGAAAATTTATTTTCATTATTCTGTATTACTCCCATACATTTTGTAAACAAAAAAGTATATGCTCAGGTAAACGTGTTGTGTTTGTTTCACGGGCGACCCGGCCGTACGGACTTGAACTTGTCACGTGTATACCTGTATAAGGTAAACGTTCGTTGTCGGAGGCACTTTTTTTTTAGGAATATTTAGTGTTCCCTTTTTATTCCTAAAATACCAAAGTAACTACTAGCCACGTTCATCCAGTTGTGAAACTGTATACGATAAGACTAAATAATGCAGATTCAGTGATATTTATAAAAAAATACTTTTATAATCACGGATCAATTTTAATGTTCATGTGATCATTATTTAAATCGTGCGTGCGTGCGCACGATACCTGCAGGGTATGCGCACGAAGTGTTAGGTGCATTGTGCGTCACCACTACTGTACAAACCTTATGTAGAATTAAGTTGAATCTATATCAAATACTTTTAAATTACTGATGATGAGTTGAATTTGATAAAAATCAATTGCAACAGAGTATACCGACAATAATTTGAACTGAATATCGACATATGTTTATGTATGTTTCAACACGATCCTTGATAGTTGAGCAGTGAGTGTAAGTATGCACATTTACTGTATCCCTAAGTTCTGTCTTTGGGACGTTTTTGGTAGAAAAGATATCATGATTATTTCCAACACATTTCCCCTCGATAAATTACCTGTGATAATAATTATTATGATAAGAAGACAAACAATATTGTCCTTACTTCGTTTGGGGGACATAACTATCTGTTATGACGTATTGAAATCGTTATTCTTAACCAGTACTAAATCCTCTGAAAGCGACAAGTATCGCGATATATCCCAAAATAATAACCTGCCCCTTGACTTTGAGAACTCGGGCACGAGTTCGGACAGAAAACTGTTGTTGAGATGTTAGATGGCAAAGACTTATTATCGTTGTCTCTTACCTAATCTGGTAGGGAAATACTATGCGCGATATAAAGTAAGATGTGTTCGATTCTCGTTAGCAGACATTGATCCATTGTCCAAGAATTAAGTACACTGGTTGTCGTTATTGAATCAGACCTTATTCTTCCAGAACTGTGAGTTACTTTAGGTTTTTAGTGTAAATAATCTTTGTTGTAATATTTGTACTTTTTTCCTTGATTTTCAGTTTGAAATTTTGAACGATCGTCAGATTTAGTTAAATTTCCCTATCGAAAACTTGAATCAGTTTGTGATTTATATATCCTGAAATGATTGTCTAGTCGGCAAAGTACGTCCTCAAATAAGACCGTCACATTGTTTTCTTAGTGATAGAGTCGAATTTTTCATTCATGTAAAACCACACAAGTCATATCAGTATCATTCTACTATGAAGAAAGGGAATTACTTCATTTCAGCTCTAAGGACCGTAGATCCTTCCAAGCAGTCCTAAAATAGCATGGAATGTTTAGTGGGTATGATATTTGTAAAGAAGTGTTGAATGTGTCTTTCTAAGATTTCATCATTTCGTTTCTTAACGTTTTCTTATAGAGTTTCCCCGATCGCGAGAAAGAACAATCTTTTTCTTTTTTTTTCATAAGGATTGATCTTTTATGCACCCGAGTCGTTTGACTACTATGTATCTTATCTAAATCTGAATTGTGCTTTTTACATTCGTTTTACAAATTTTGAAGTATTACTAGTTAATGACTTGACGATGAAATATAAACACCGATCACACTAGTGTGTGGATATTTCAGTAAACATGGCACTAATGATCAGTCATAATGTGTACTTGATTTCTAGATCAATGTCAGCCATTTTTTCCTGTAGCATTGCATCATACATCTCGTTCTGTGCCACAGTTAGCCAGTTCTTCCAATCACCAACGCCACCTTTAATAATGGAAATGATAAACGTGTGAATTTCTTACGACACTTTTCACCGAAATGATATTCTAGCCAACCCGTTGTTGGATATATTTGCATCATTTCTAAATCATCACATCGTTCATTGGATACATAATTATTATAAATATACCTTACGAAATAAATTCATCATCTAAACCAATACAAGGACGCCAGGTAAAATGTATTGTGTTTCATGATAGGATATTTGAATCAGAAATACATGTTAAGTAGAAATGGAAATTTTGACTTTGTCCAGTACAAGTGTCGGCATCAGAGTCTACATTATCCAATCGTCACACTTCCATAACAGCCTATAATATATGACCTTCATTCGTCTCTAACAAGATAAAAGATATGGAGTTGATCAAATGGTTTTAAAGGATTTTCATAGAAATCCAGCAGGGGAAGCACTAGGATATTTTTTGATAAAATTTAATCACTTTTCACTACTCATATTATAAATTTTTACACTTATGTCCACAGCTTTACTGACAAGTTCTCGAAATGAAGGCCTGTATGATCTAGTTTACTTCATTAGATGGTATAAACATAACACATAGAATTGTCCTGGGATGAAATATAACTCAGTAATTCTTACTTGTCATGTCTTATTTGTAAAATATTATTATTATTATTATAAAGACCATTCCGTATTACATCACAGTACTGTTTCTTATCGTCAATTTGTACTAGATTGTACTATTTGTATAGTTACTTTGTATCTATAGAAATCCACATATGTCTGATCTACAGTCAAAGTTGCCATTAACAAAATGTAACGATAAAAACACTGAACATCGATATAGTTAAATACCCTAATATTTCCTTAATTCGTTACCTTTCCTATAGAATGGGTTGCTACCATCTTTGCTGAGCGTCGTTTCTTTGACATTTGACCTCTGTGCCTTTGACATGACATTAAACTGACATTTATTCGCTACCTCATCAAGGAATTCTGGATTTCGTTTCACATCCAAATGTTCTGCCATCTTTTTAACACAGCTCCTTAAGTCCTGTAAAAACGTTAAACATAAATATGTTACTATTTTTCTTATAAATCATATACATATATACTTGTTGTGTTTTACTTATGCCCATATCTGGTAGCAATGTTTAGATTTGTGTTAGATTTAATCCCTATGGACTATCTCAATCCGTGACATCTGCGACACGTTAGCAATGTTAAGTGTTATAACTAAACGGAACTCCCCATACGGGAAGACATTACTTGTTGAGATCGTTACTGTGATAAGAGATGCATTCCATGAAACTATGATATTATAATACACTATGGAATAAAATACCTTTTTCATGTCCTCGTATGACACCATCAGGATTGGTATTTCTGCATTTTCCTTTTTAAAATCCAGCCACGCTTTCACGTGTTCAAACCAGCTGTTGTAGTGCACTTTAGATTCAAGAAAAGTTGTAAAAGTACAGTCATCATTGTTTATAAACGTAAGTAGAAAACCCTCAATCAACTTTCCTCTATTCTGTTGGATTTAAGATATATGATAATTAAAAAACAGACCTACGGACATGAATAGGTATTGAACAAACAAGAATATTGATACAGGCATGCGAACGATGAAAATACTTGATCTTGTTTACTGATATCAGACGCATTATATTTATGAGTAATAATTCTTTACTTACTTGGTTTTGTGGCGAATATTTCGAAGAAATGTTCCCATGTGCCGTTGTACCCTTTGAGGCCATTTACGTTAACACGCTTGATAAAAGAGTACAATGATACCGCTGTATCCTTTGGGTTACGATAGATGTAAACAACTTTACATTTCCCGTCTTCCACGAACTTCGGAATGTGTTGCGGATATAAATGGCTCTTTAAAACCCTAGGACCTTCGAAGGCATCCAGTCTGTCAGTTGCTTGGAATTCTAAGCACATAAAGGGGTCAGAACTATATTCTGCTTTCCCAGTTTGTAACATATACAAAATTTCATATGCCCAATGTGTTCCTGAAAAATACACCATATATATATATATATTAGTTGCTTTTATTTTAAATCTCGTATATGTCGCTTTTTGGATCGTTTACAATATTGGGAACTTTTCACTTCTAAGTAATGATATAATATATGTTATAGTACTAAATGTGGAATATGAAACAAAATGGCGACGATGCATTTACTTTAAAATAAAAAACAAAATGTAAATATATGTATACGATATATAACATCTGTATAATTCAGTCAGTTATATTCATGTTTAAAAACACTGTACACATGATAATTCCTCACGTAATCATCACATTTCCTCTTAACGATCACATCATTTCTGAACCATTACGTTATCTCGAAACCATAGCATCATTTCTGAACGATCACATAGTTTGTTTTAGAACTACCGCAACATTTCTGAACCATCATATCGTTCATTTGTTGCTGGCTATATCACATCTTTAATCCGCTTTTCCGTGACTGCATCCTTTACGAAAAAAGTCAGATTTCTGAAATGATGTACAAACACTGCGTTCGTGAAATGATCGTGTTAGTGCAGTACGAATAAGATGTGTATTATCCTTCTCTACAGCAGATATCTGCACTAAGTAGTATATTATCATTATAAATTTATTTCATTATCACAATATTTCGACCAATCATGATAACAAGAACATAACTTTGACGAGAAAATGCCACAATACTTAGGGAATGCATCTTATACACACGTGTATAATAACGAACAAAAAACAAATTTAAAAAATAAAAGCTTTAGATATTCCAATTATTGTTAGTAATGATATAATATATAATAATAGCGTTGAAATAACGTGAACGGACCGCTACATAAGATACCAATATTACATTCTAAACGTGCCAAAGCATTTATTTTCTATATCATACCTGTTTTAGGGAAGGTGTCGAGAAAGACATCACCTTTCGTGTGTTTCAGGTTCTTTACTGACACCAACTGGTCTTTCACATTCCCAGGGATGTTTGCAGGAAACCGAATTCCGTCATAATATTTATCTATTATCACTTCGCCACCTCTATCTTCGGTCTGTAGGATCTCCATTGTAATTTGGTTTTCTTGTTTAGATGTTGATAGAATTCTGAAAATCAAATACAACCAATACATTTCAATATTTCATCAACAATGTTATACAGTGAGAAACATTCCAGATCATGTTTTATTAAGATGTTCCAATCCACTATATTTGTATGTTGATAACACACGTTTTGCCAATATTTTCGAAATATTCAGTTCCTTAAACTCGAATTCCTCTTCCTTATAAATCAAAATTATTAACATATTATCTTTTTTTTTCTTTCTCTGGCAGAAGTTTACATGATGCAAACAAATACTTCAGCTCAAGTTTTGCATCCTCTCTATCCACAATGCTTTAAATGTCTTACTCCAGAAGTATGTACGAGCAGTGAGTCATGAAACTCACCTTTAACTACGTAGATATACAGGGAAACATGCGAGCAGAGTTTCACCTAATTCATGCAGGGAATTCCTAAAAAGAATTAATTTTATGTTAAAGGTTAACATTTAGAACATAACAATGCTGAATCAGTCACATATTATCTACAGTCACGTGTTATCATTATGATACCTTCCACCCTGATAGAGCGTTGTCTATATGTTAAATGTGTCCTAGTTAACTGAATAAAACCTGACGATGCGTACTCGTGTTATATTACAGACCAGGTATCTGTGTTACATAAAACAACCTCTTGTCGGGAAAAATACACATCATCTGAGCGACTCCACCGAGGGTTAGAAGCAATCGTCAATTATCAGAAAAAAACCTAACGTTTTGTGTACTTTCCACCTCGAACTCATATATTGACAAGTTTATCTTGTGAAACTATGGATGAAAATGGAAGGAGCAGGGAGTCTTTGAGAACAACTTAAATCATGATAAACGAATGTAAATCGTAACTGATATCCGAAAATGCACACCCAAGAGCATAATGAAGGAACACCAACTACAAAATGTTTAAAGCAAAAGTTTAATTGAAGTTTATGTTGCTCACAAGTGCACGGCTCATTAGTGTATTGATTAAGAAATGTACACAGATACAATATCAATATTTCACCGACGTCACATTGTCTACAGAATCAGTGGCAGCAGTTTAGTCGGATGTTTTCGATGCATTTAAGCATATTATGATACTTTTGTCTTTATGATATTAGTGTTTATGTTTGATATCAAATTATGATTCAATTCTACCGTTAACAATGGAATTCACAGTAAATTTGCCACTACACTTCAACTTTTATTGTTCGTGGTCTTTCAAATTCTGTGAGATGAATGTATTTTCAGCGATGTGAGTATTATTGCCAAAAAAAGCTCTGTAATGTCGAAGTGATATTATAGGATGATGCCTGTTTTTGACATGTTTATTTGTTACTGTCGCTATGGAATTCAATCTAAGATTGGAGAATTAATGATACTCGAAAAATTGTGTTGGCGTTATCATTTCGCGAGTATCTGTCATTAAACTGGGCTCATAAAGTGACCAGCAGAATTAATGATCAGTGATATGTGCAATTCCAGGGTTGTTATGTCGTGTCATTTTTAATCGATGACAAAGAGAAAAAATTATTGTGAGACTTACTCACAGACATGTGCTATGACGTGAACAAAAACTTATCTACCACGAGTTTCAACTGCTCGCACATATGGCTGTGTATTATTGTCGATAATCTAATAAGGCTTAAGGAAATCAGTTTGTTTAATATACTGGTAAAGATTGAGACTTCAGAGTAGTGATAAGGGTTCACCTATCGGTAGGAACGGTGACTGTGTTATGCAGTATACAGGCTGGTAACAACCGCGTACCAGGGTAAGATACGAGAAACAGTACTATTCGACAAGACGATAGGTACTATCTAAGATTGTGTTTCTTACTTGATTTATCTATGCACTGTTTCATGGACAACAATTTTGAATAAAAAACGCAGAAATACCAAACTGATATCTCGATACATCATTCCGATTTGATTATATATATATATGTGTGTGTGTGTGTGTGTGTGTGTGTGTGTGTGTGTGTGTGTGTGGAATACTGAAATTTAGCATTTCAATGCAAATTTATTGTGAAATGTAGTCGAAAATGAAATGTATAATCTATTAAAGTAGTGGGGAAAGTGGTAACATCGTTAGCGCTTATTGATAAAGAATTTACCATTTTAGACGATGATGTTATGAAAGAGAAATAATAAAATGTAGCATAGCATGTCATGCGGATCCACCTCTCGTTATATCCACTATATACAATGGGTGTGTCTTTCCAAGAAAATTTCAATGGGGCAAGATTCGACAGGAGAAGCAGTCGTTAAAGACAAAGCAAATAGAAATGCATCCTGTAATTTGAGAAAACAGCATGCACTTGTTACCGGGGTTCAGCTTGTTACAAAACTGACACGTTAATTAGATGCTTTTCGTGCTTATATCTTTATTTCAAAACAAAAAAAAGAAACCGTAAAAAAGTACAAGACATTAGTCTTACACACAAACACTCACATGCGTGCATATATGGCATAATAAAATGGCAATTACTCTGTTGACAACTGTTATGATATAACAGATATATTCTACCCTATCAAACAGCATAATTAAAAAATCTAACAAATGATTGCGTCAATTTATTTATCGAATCTAACCGGTTGTTACTGTGTTCTTTATGAAAATATATAAATATCATGTCTTACCAACCTATGTTTTTACTCACACAATTTACAAATATATCTAAAATTCTAGTTAAAGAAGTAGTTAAAAATACATCGCTAAAAACATTCTTCACCTGTCAGACACTCACCCCATAGCTATATACATTTATACTAATCATTCATTAATAACTAAATATAGATATCGTTACTAACTGTTTAAATGTATATCCTAATATAGGTCTTATCTTTATTACACATCTCATGTAAAAAAAAAACGGATTTTGTTATTTCATGCTTTCTTTCGGTAATTGTATTTACTCTTAGGTGCATTTTCACCTGCTCTTTTCGCTTTTTAGATAATATGTAGAAAGGTCATGTTCGCTTTTTGTTGAACAGTACGATCATGTGAGGATGACAGTAGATTGAAAACATTTGATTGATGTATTTATGGATAGAGAACCCAAAATATAAAAGACGTTGATAGTAATTGTTGTGTGTACATGTATGCATGTCCCTTTCTGTGTTTAGTATATGATCACACTATACCATATTGAAAATACGTCCGTTTTTATAGATTGTCCAATTTATACTGCGGTGAGTGTTGTGACATACTCTCACTCATCTCCTCCTGGGCAAGTTGACAAATTCCAATTTACCAAGAGATACCAACTCGACATCTGCAGTGTTTAAAATATTGTTGACCATGTCATTTCGATGTTATTTCGCTGTCACGTAAAATTGTCATGTGTCGAACATAGTACATAAAATAATGCAATTTTCACTTTGAAGTTTCGCATATATACAAATAACATATTACTCATTCTCAGTTTGTGAGATTTTTAAAACAAAACAAAAAACGGTTTTAGTAGGAGATTGACATTTCAGAAAAGCTCACAAAATGATTTTACAATTTATATGTAATCTCCAGATCAATGTCAACCATTTTTTCTTTAATCACTGCATCATACATCTCGTTTTGTGCCACTGTTAGCCAGTTCTTCCAATCTCCAACTTCACCTTAAACAGTAAAGAAGAAGACTTTCCTCAAGTTACGACAACACATAAGTATCATAATCTTTACCGTTATAATTTAATCAATTATTTTTGTGCTCAAGTGATATCAACATGACATTAACACGTAAACGACACTGATCATAAATATTCTGACTATTAAGTAATCAGAAGCTAGGATAAACAAACATCAAAATAAACATATCTACATTTATTTCTAATATATGTAAAGACGTGAAAGAAAATGAACGCATATCTCATGAACCTAGCCTGGAGGATATAAACAGCCTTGGGGGGAATTTCCGGTCCCACATACAGCTATACATATTGTTAATACAGCCATGACATTAAAATCAGTGTGCATGTTCAAAGTGATTTACAACAGGTGTACCTTTTCTATAGAACGGGTTGGTGCCATCTTTCGACATTGCTGTTTCTTTTGCATGTGAGGACTTTGCCGCTGACATGACGTTGAACTGACATTTTCTTGCCACTTCGTCAAGGAATTCTGGATCTTGTTTCGTTCCCAAATATTCTGCCATCTTTTGAACACAGCTTCGTAAGTCCTTCAATATGACAGTATCATGTTATTGGTTGTTGAAATACTAATGGAAGAACTTTATCTATATCCCTTAATGATAATGTCCAGTCGATACCTTTGTAATATCTATTTATATAAACACTAACTTGAAATTGAAACAATACTCAGAAACTTGAAGACGTAATATTCTTGAAGACAACGACGATCTCTACAAAATGCCATTCTGTTTGAAAGTTATTTATATATAAAAGAACTGAACATAACAAAAGGTTGATTGCATAAACAAAGGTTATTGATGCATTAAAGAAAAGACCCCAACACAGCATTCTATCAGTTTATCCATTGATAGATAGTTTGGACGCACCAGCGGAGAGGGTTGTAGAAAAGACACATTAGTACACACAAACAGAAATAGGTACAATATATCCTGTTAGTAAAGTTCACTGATCTACCTATGTTTGGTTCTTCTTAGACTCGGAATTGATACTTGGAAACTAGAATATTGCAATCTAGAAAAAATCTACTTACTTAGTAGAAATCAAGTACAAATGGGGAGATGCACTTACCATATATTTAATCATTTATCATCTTTATCAAATAATTACCTGGCGATTTCAAAATAGGTATATGAAGATATTCTGTACCATAAAACAATAATACACACCTTTTTCATGTCCTCAAATGATACAAACAGGATAGGTAAATCTGGATTCTTCTTTTTGAAATCTAACCATGACTTAACGTGCTCAAACCAGGTGTTGTAATGCACTAAAATGATAAAATACATAGCTATATCACAGCGGAGTAATAACGAAAGTTCACACAAAATCCTTTGTCGTTC